AATTAAGCTGTTAAAATTATTTAATTTAATGAACATTTTGTACCTACTATTTATGAATGAATAAGGAAAAAATACTCCCACCCAATCCAGCATGGAGCTAGAGTGAGACAGGTGCGTGTGAAAGAGAGAGACACATAAATATAGTACTATGTATTATTTGTTTACAATACTACAAATACTATGAGTGTAAAAATACCACTATACCACATGGTACTTAATTAAATAATTTGCTTTGCAATGGCGTAGAATGAATTATATTTTATGCATATTTCAGCGCAAAATCCATAAAGATTGACAGATTTTAACAATAATCTGTAGTTCCATTGATATTTCGTTAAAATAGACACGGAATTTCCATAAAATCCTCCTTCCTTTACTACGGAAATACAGGCCGCTGAACCGAAATGCCGTACCACGAAAAAACAAATACTACTTACCATTCGTTATTCAAATTTTAAAACCCAGTGATAAAAACACGAGACACGATAGAAAATTAACACAAAAACACATGAATATCGACAAAATGGCGTTTTAAATACGTAAAACAGTGAAACAATAAGGCCGATCTCATGAAATAACTGCACATGCCACTAAACTCCGCTTACAATGAAATTGATCTAATTATGACACAGAATTAACCATAGTTATGAATGAATAACTAACCTTTTTGGCTTTATACACACGTATTTTCACTTAAAACACTCGATTTTGAAGCATTTAAACTGTCTCGTGGAAGATTCTATTGTTTGGAATTTAAAATAAATCGAAACTCCGAATAAAAGGTTATGCTTGGTTTAATAATAACAAGTTGTACCATTTCCCATCACACCATTCAAAGTGAAGCGGTACATTGGTACGCATTTAATCGTGTCCTATTACCGTTTCAAAAGCAAATGATTTTCTGTCTTATTGTTTCAGGGATAAGATTCAAAATCATGAATGATTATTAGGTAGCACAGGAGCGTTTTTCGTAGAATAAGCGCGTCGTCCGTAGCGTCATCTATTGTTTGACATATAGTTCGGTGTTGCAAGTGCAAAAAAAAAATTGCCACTAAATATTTTTATGGTAGTATTTAAACTAGCTAACCCAGAAAAATTGCCACTAAATATTTTTATGGTAGTATTTAAACTAGCTAACCCAGATAATTCAATTAACCATAATTATGTTGTCCTTTGCGAAGAACTATTTGAATAGAGTGTAGAAATTACCACGTAACATTTAGGATTTTGGCATTCATAATTATTTTCATTATGGTAATGAAAATGCCTTTACAATTAAAACTATATTTTTTACCTTTTTTTCTGCTTAAGTTCTCAGTAATTTCTTTCTTTAACGAGTAAATAAATATCAAAACTGGGACGTTATTTTATTCTTTTTCCATCTTTTAGGGGAAATATTTTTTCTGCAATACGTCAATGTTGCCAATAGCAAAAAATATTAACTACCACGTAGTACTAACTAAAGGCACTAGATGTCGCTAAAATGTATTTTTCGGAAATACGCAACGATTTTTTAATATTATTTTTACTTTTACTATAGCGTATTTTTATTTTGAAAGACATACTGAAAACAAGTAGCAAACTATTTAAAATTTTTGTTGTATTTACAAATGTGTAAGCGTAATTTATAACGCACGCAATCTTTACATCAAAGTAGTCTTTTTTGTTGGCATATCCGCTTTAAATACGAATAAAAATTGAGATTTAATCCTAATAAAAATAAAATAAATAGGTTGTCTGGAAGAGAATGCTCTGTATCGTTAAGACCGCCTACATTAGGTCGTTTTTTCTGTTTCTTTTTTTTGTCTTGTGTGATTTGTAATTAGGCCAGTAGAATTAAACACAAAAATTGATTAAATCGGAAATAATTCCTACAAAAGATTTTTTGCTTTAATGGCTTCAGTGGTTGCCCATTAAGACTCTCCTATGTTTTCGACTTCGACGGAGTTGTGCTTAAGTGGTGGGCGCCCCCGAAAGGGGCNAACTAATTAAGACATGACAAAAAAACTGAGGTATGTCTTGTTTCTGTCGGGTCTGGGTTTTTTTTGTATGGGGCGTGACCGTTCTTCTTTGAAATATTTTCGTCGATAAAATTGTCTTTAGATTACGCCCTTAAAGTTTGATCACTACATGCCCGGACACACTGTATATATATAGAAGATATCGGATATTTTCGAACCCTGCAAATAAACGACCTAAATGTCAATGTGACAGAGCCCACAAAGTTGTGGACGCTAGTTGGCGCTATAATCGTGCACAGAGCCAATAGAATCAATACAGGCTGCACAGATTTAACAGTAATATGCAAAATGTCAGACCGTTGACAGACGTCTACGCACCGGCTGATAATTTTGATTAATTCCGGTGTTTTTAGGGTTCCGTACCTCAAAAGGAAAAAACGGAACCCTTATAGGATCACTTTGTTGTCCGTCTGTCTGTCTCTCAAGACCCTTTATCTCAAGAACGCGTGGACGTATTAAGCTGAAATTCACATGAAATACTCAAGTCGAATATATTGTCCCTTTAAGCTGTGAAAATATCAAACTTCTAAGCCAAGCCAATCAAAAGATACAGCCGATTATGTCGATATTTTCAACAAATTTTCGACACTCGCAAAGGAATCAAAACCTACAGGATACTTCCCGTAAACTCAGAATCTTGAAATTTGGAATGAAGCATTGTCATATAATGCAAATATAGGAAAAATTGCGAAAATCTCATTTTTTAGTTATATAATATAATAAAAATATTTTAATAAAATGAAATTTACTACCTTATTTCTCACGAACGAATAAAGGTATCAAATTGAAATTTATACCAAATACTTAAGTCTATTGTCGCTTTAAGCAGTGAAAAAATCAAACTTCTAAGTTAACGCGATCAAAAGATACAGCAGTTTACCTTAGACGAATTTCCGTCACACGCTAGGGAATCAAAACCTACAAGGTACTTCCCGTGAACTCAGAATCTTGAAATTCGGCACGGAAGCAACGTTATAAAGTACAGATAAAGGGAAAATTGTGAAAATGATAAATTTGAAGTTACATAAAATATTAAAATATTATTTTTGCTTACATGACATAAAATATTTTTTTAATAATTATAAACTTACTACCTACCCTTTTTCACATGAACGCGTAGAGATATTAAAGTTGAAATTCATATCAAACACTTCTTAAATCTAATTGCCTCTAAACTGTGAAAAAATCTAAATCAACGCATAAATGCATAACCTATAATCAAACGCAACGGAATCAAAACTTAAAGACTACTTCCCGCTGACATTAAATCTTGAATTTTGGTATGAAACAATAGCTTAAGGTAACCTAACAGAAAAATCCGAAACCTTTTAAAATTTTTAGGCACAGTAACTAGTTAAACCAAAACAAAGACCAACACAATCGTCATTCAATCTAAATATTTTGATGATTAAAATGTGTCCCCTCTCTGTAAGTTCCAAAATAAGATAATATTAAAACTAAAAAAAATATATGATATGCATTACGCATTACCATGCAATTGGTTTGAACGATATCTAATAAGTAATTTTTGTGCTCAGTAGTGCTCTCCCTGTTTGGGTGTCCACGGAAGACCAGCGTCGTGGCATTATCTACTGAGATGCTACGACACCATGCTGAGTGGATACCTTTTCAGTATCATTGTAATTACCTTCTCATTAAATAATGTTAAGTATTGCAAGTGTATTGTCGATGATACTGAATAAACATTTTTTCTTTCTTTCTTTCTAATTTGATTTAATACGTCATAAATTGTAAACCGCTACGTTTGTACGGCGGAACCCTCGGTGTGCGAGTCCGACTCGCACTTGGCCGGTTTTTTTTTAAAGAATATTGGTAATTATTTGTAGTAATACATACGGATAGTAAATAAATGTTTCTTGATGATAGTGCTGTTTTTTCATCCCAAAACTTGTAAATAATTATTCTGTACAATGCGGATTGTCCGAATGTATCTCGAAATGCACATTGTCAGATACGTAATACATAATTTACTTTCAATTTTGAATGTATCTTTAGAGACACATTGACAGGTTCTCGTTGACTTTATTTTATTATTTTTGTTAGGATTATATTATCATCTTTGGAAGTGTATTAAATATTAAAAAGTTAACTGTTTCCGGTAGAACGCTCTTTCCTCTTCCGGCTATGTACGAATAAGATGTGTCTGTGTAAGATCCCGAATAATAAATGCTTATCTCGCTAACTATCGGTCTTTTCATTAAAGAAACACAAGTTCTGATAGGTTATGGGCCCAGACACCCGTTAGTTAGAGTTAGGGAAAGTATTAATTGTAGATTATTCGGGAAAAAGCGGATTTGTGAAATATAAAAATGGCGATGTCAAGTAGCAACCCGCCGCTACCGCAATTGAGTGCAGGGGCATACGACAGCTGGATTTTCAGGATAAAATGCATACTCGCAGAAAAAGGTCGTTAGACATGACCAAAACTTCTGTTAAGAAGTTTTGGATTTAAAGAAAATAGTAGACTGTGATGAGAAGATGAAACTCATGGATGCAAAAGCGAGAAGTATCATCGTCCAAAGCGTGACAGACNCCCGCTCTTTTGTTTTTTAATACTACTACGCTGAATATTGTGTGCGGATTGGGTTGTCGTACAGGGGTACTACATGGTAAAATAAATCTCTTCGGCGAAAACAGGATAATTTAGATCGAACTTCACTTGGTAAGTTCGTTTGATCATTCAATAATAAGTATGTATTTACAAAAAAAGGATTTAAGTATGTTTATATCCGTTCTCTAGTACCCATAGTACAAGCTTTGCTTAGTTTGGGACTAGAAGCGCAGTGTAAAATGTCCAAGGATATTTATTTATTATTTATTTAGTTACGGTCAATGTTAGGTGGTGCAACTCTGCCTTAGCTGACAGCATATCAAACTAAGTAGTGCCTGAGGTAAGGGAACGGCACGGGTGTTTTTGTGACGGTCAAACGTCATCAGTGAGATTTCAGTGCCCCGATTGCGCTAATTTACTTTACTATTTTATTTATTTTACCAATGGTCCGTGACCCTCACTCGGCATGGGGCACACTGAAAACCAGCGCCGTGGCCTTCGTCACCGTGGGCCACGGCATTTATGCTGAGTGGGGTCCCGTTGCAGTGGGCATCTTGTTGGTGAATGGGTGGCACTGCTCAATCAGCTCAGTTTACTCTTGTTTTTATTTTTTTCTTCTTTTATTATTATGTGCCACTGTCATGTCTACTTATGTAATTGCCTGTATTTGTGTGATGTCCATTGTAGCTAATAAATGTATCTTTCTTTCTTTCTTTCTTTCTAATTTTTAACGTCTCCAATAAGAACCTACATTGGCGCTTCTTCACCAGTTGCGCTCCGTTTTTCATTCCAGCTGAGGTGCAAATTCGGTATTGCGGTAAAGTTCACGCGCAACAAAGACGAAACAACGGATTTAATCACTTTCCAATAAAAGTTCGAACACCTTATTTTTTCACTAAAACAGCAAATTCGTGAAGGCGTTTGACTTGAGTTTGAGAAAAAGTAGCTTTCTTTCAGCTTTTACGGGCTTTTACACAAAGAAGCAGTTGCGTTTTGTTTTCGTTTGAACTACCTACCTACTTAGCTGTCAAAGCGACACCGCGATACGAATTTGGGAGTTTCGTTCGTCGTCTAGTCGCGTTGTAGTTGAAAATATTTAGCACAATCGGGGCCCAGATCTCCTTCAGATTTGTACTGGTGTGCTCTCCCCTCCCGTGCCACTACCATACCCCAGGCACTGAGTTGAGCGCTAGACCAAAACAAGCACTGGAACTGAGCAGTCAAACACAAAACTTAAACAGTTACCTAGTTAGAAAAAGTACACAATCCTTTGATATTTATTAATCATAGTATTTGTCAACAAACACTCGCCTGCCCCCTTAGTAATAATACAATACAAGCATGTTGTAGTAATTAATGTGTAATTATCTCCAGTGTGTACGTAACCGTGAGTCAAGTGAAGCCAGGGCGCGCGACTAGTTTTGTCCGCTACGACTACGATTAGTGTTGCTTTATGATAGTTAGTACACTATCGATAGTAAATACTGGTAGTCTAATCGATAGTATCGCCATGTGTTATAGTATCGATTACATACAATAAAATTGGTAAGGTAATATACCTACTGTCGATGGTTTTACGTCTGATATTGATCCTAATAGTTACCAAAAACAATAATATTTCTGATAATTTATCGATAGTTTTTGGTTATTTTTGTAATTCTATCGATAGTTTGCCGTTATCATTGCTATGCTAGTGCTGAAAATGCCTCATCGCACTCTCGATATCCTGAATACAATGAAATGATAATGATGTTTTATTCAGCCACAAAAAACGTCATTTTTCGAAGACATCATCGATACCACTACTTTGATAGTAAACTATCAATGAGTCTACCACACTAAAGTGAAGCCAGGGCGCGCGACTAGTTCGTCCGCTACGGTGACGCAGCACACCGCAGTCGCAGCCTACAACTCGAGCTGTCATTAATGGCGTCTTCCCAGGGCTGTCACACGCAAGTAATTTAAAAATACTTTTTATCTTTCTGTGGATGTCATAAAAGGAAAATTCTAATTCCATTTGCCTCTAGTAATAGAGAGGGCATGCTCTTGCTACGGAGCTTTTGATTTTATTTTGAAAAGAACAGACATTTTAAAACTTCTAAAGCACTTATGATGCGATGCGAGATCACATTTTGCGTTATTTTATTCCCTAATTTCCAGAAATTGTAGTCATCCATCATACTGATAAATAAAACAGGAAGACGTAGCTGGTGGGCAGGCTTTTCACTAGGTGGATCGACGATCTGGTGAAGGTAGCGCGAAGAGCCTGGATGCGGGCAGTGCAAGACCGGTCGTTATGGAAATCCTTGGGGGAGGCCTTTGTCCAGCAGTGGACGTCATTTGGCTAAAAGGTTTCTTGCTATAGGCAATCAACATCTTAAAAAAATACAAGTATCTACTTAAGCTTTGTTTCATTTTAGGTGCACCTGGTTGAAACTTTCTTGATTCATGTTTCAATCAAACCCTAGCGGTCAGGTTTGCAGAAAAACTACAAAAAATTCTTTACCACAATCAATTTAATTCGTGTTTTGGTCAATTAATTTATTAAATGATTATAGGTAGGTAGGTAGGTACTGTGCGAGTATTCGAACTCAACAAAAAACCCAAACACTAAGTATTAAATGTTATCGATACGTTTAACAAAAACTTTTAAATAGCATTTAAAATCTTCCATTTTGTGGTCAATGCCTCTGTAAAAATGCTGTGGGTGTTAGGATTATATTATCTTTGGAAGTGTATTAAATATTAAAAAGTTAACTGTTTCCGGGAGAACGTTCTTCCCTCTTCCGGCTATGTACGAACAAGATGTGTCTGTGTANCCTTTTCAGATGCAGACTGGGCCAGTAATAAATCTGACAGAAAAAGTGTCAGTGGCATGGTCATTTATCACAGAGGAAATCCTATATCATGGTCATCCAGGAAACAGCAAGCTGTCGCCCTTTCAACTGCGGAAGCAGAGTATGTCGCCGCCGCTATGACTGTGAGCGAGCTATTATTTGTGAGGGGACTTGCAATCGATTTTCAAGACAAAAGTGATGCAGTGTTATATGTGGANACAGGGTACAGAATGGAAAACTGCAATAGAAAGTGAAATAAAATCATTAGAAAGTCTACAAACGTGGTCAGAGACAGAGTTACCACATGGAAAGAAAGCCATATACACAAAGTGGATATTTAAGACAAAATCAGATGGAACTAAAAAGGCACGACTAGTTGCTCGTGGATTTCGTGGATGAATCAGACGANGAAAACCCTGAAACTATGCTTGAAATACCATTTTGAACTTCGTTCAAACATATCTGAGTATCTAACTGTCGATTTCAAGGTCGAGTTTGAATTTATTAAATAATATTTGCCTGTCATTAGTTATTGTAGTTTCCCACTAACTCTTTTGCAACAAATTGTATGTATCTGCCTTAAATATCTGCCTCTTCAATAGAGTCGCATATGAGTCCATGTCTTATCGCTTGAAAATAAAAACTACTTCATAGGACTACATAGGTTTTGTTATTTATCTCTCTCATTTTCAACTCAAACGAATGAGACAGTTAAAGGTTGCCAGTGTCAAAATTTGCCCTTAAAATTATGGACTTTTTGGCGGGAAATTGAAGCATTGAACGAAATGCTGAATGCTGAAGCTTAATGATTGAAAGGCTTTGTGGTGTAAAAATGAACTAGTTATATTGTAAAATAAAAATCACATTACATAATAATATTGCTTAGTTCAGTAGAAAAGTCAAGAGAAGAGAAAAAAGTGACAGTCGTAAAATACACAAAAAAGAAAAAGAAGTTTCTCGCCAGCCAGGCTAGCGGCCAAGGAGGTTGGTCGCACATAAGTGACCTTTACTATTTTACTAAGGCCATCATTATACAGCGTCATGTTTAGCAGTTTGTTTTATTTTCTAAAAGTGTTAAACTATCTAATTGTAACTAATATTGTCTGAAATATTGTTTGACGTGTTTGTGCATGCTGCTTTGGACTATCCAGGCTACTAAGCCTAAACAAAGATCGAATAACTGGAAGAGAGTGCTATGCGCGGCAAGGAAGCGCGCAGCCATGGCTTGTCTCAGATCTATACACCTTTATAAGATAAGTCGGTATGTATGGCGTTTGTGGTGCATGAAATGTGTGATTTTTCGATGTTATTATGTATTTAACAAAATGATAATGATGATTGACAGCCGATGGGGCAGCAAGGTTCCGAGGGCCTAGTGTGAGTTTTTTTCAAACGCTCGGCTCTCACTAGTGAGCGCGTCAAAAAATGACATTAAATGTATGACGGATTGTACAGCGCTCCTAGCGGGAAACTTTCAAAAACTAAAATTTTTGTACATTTTTTAAACGCGCTCACAAAATTCACACTCAGCCCACTGGAGTGGAAGCCGCGTACTGGAAAACAAAGCGTGAGACGTCCACCCACAAGGTGGATCGAGGACATCGTTAAGGTAGCAGGAAGGCGCTGGACGCAGGCCGCTACCAACCGGGCTACATGGAAAGCATTGAGGGATGCCTATGGTCAGCAGTGGACGTACTATGGCTGAGATGCTGATGATGATGAATGATGATGAGCTTAAGCTTAAATCATCATCATTATAAACAAAAAAGAACATCATATTTTTTCGTGCGTACACACGGCCACACTGTTAACTATCCATTTCCGTTTTTGCTCTCGCTCTCATCAAATGGTGATTCCTTGCGATAGAACGAGATGACATGTCAGGCAATGGATAGTTAACACTGTTGCCGATGGTACATATTTAAATTAAATATTTACATTTTATATTACAGGCATAGAGCGTGTAACATCTTTGCCAGAACGTACTACGAGCTTTGGTTAGAAGAAGAAAATGTTGGTCAAGAAGTTATGATCGAGGATCTCACAGTAAGTATGATTATTCCAGATCTATCCCAAGCTGTGGAATTGTGCTTCTAAATTAGATTAACAAATAGAAGCTCTACATATTTGTACATCTTAATATTTACTTTCAGCAATCATTCGAAGACGCGGAGTTGAAGAAAAGCGACGTGGTAGAAGAGGAAGGCAAGCCTGACCCTCTCACTCAGCTGGTTACCACATTCTGCAGGGGAGCCATGACGGAACGGTCTGGCGCCTTACAGGTACCTAACAATAAGATTCAAACTACTCTTGGATGACGTAAAAGGTGAATCTGAACTCTAATCCTGATATACTTCATGGAGATTTTTAAAAGGAATATTAGCAAATGGTTTTTGCACAAATTACTAATAGTCCCGTTAGTCCCGTAAGCTAAATGCTTGTGTCACGAGTGGGCTCACGACAATAGTCGAGTGTCAGTAAGGTTTAAACCCGCGTTCCTTGAAAGCCGAGTTGGCCAGTCCGACCCCTTCACCATGGGGATGTCGTGGCTTCAAAAAGTTCAGTCTTAAGACAATAATAAAGAACTTAAAAATTGTAAGTTTTGCGCATAGGTTACTCATCCAATGTCTGTGTTCTATATCCCAAAAAAAATTGCAGACATGAGCCACTGAATCGTATCCGAATCGAAGGACCAATGAATCAGACTATTTTTGATTGAAAATTCTAATATCATAAGCTAAATTATGATAATGTTCAAGTTTTAGTCACCTCACCAAACAATGATTTAATATTGAACACTCGTATTTATAACGTTATCAATTTTACAGGAGGATCTCCTCTACATGTCGTATGCGAATATAATCGCCAAATCGTGTGGAGAAGAAGAGGAAGAAGGCGGCGGTGAGGAAGAAGAAGGTGGCGGCGAGGCCGAGGGCGAGGAAGAAGGCCGCGCCAGTATACACGTGAGTTGTTGATAATCTATCTGACAGGTAACTTTGAGATGAAATAACATTATTTATAGTACAGTTACACATGCTCATCAAAGTCATGCTTATTACAGTCCAAATATTTTGAATCGTCAAGTGGCAAAAATAAAAACTAACAACCCAGCATTGTACGTTACAATTATGGTTGTCCAACGTGTCAATAAAATCGGAACTATTAACAGAGTAAATACAAAGGAGTATTTTTTAGTAGTTGTCGGCGCAACAATGTATTGGCGCGCTCACATACTAACCGCGCTCGGTGCGTTTCTATGAAAATTACCTAGGTACTCATTTATTTGTATTTACTCTGCTATTAATCCAGCATTGATAGTGGCGCCCACCTGACAATGTCTTAACTGGGACGCTTCGATCCCATCTATAGCATGCTGCGTGCTCGAACAACTCGAAATGAGCATGCTGTTGTTTCGACACCCATGCTACTAAGTAGCAATTGCTCAATAGTGGCTTTTATCCTATTAAACCTTTATATCTTTTTCTTGGACACTTTGATAACTAACCAAAAACTTATGTTTACATGCAGAAAACTATGGAAACTTTTATGGTATGTAACTATTGAGGTATAACGCTTCCCTGTTTTACTTATTTGACATGTTTAGCCTAAGTCTTCGTAACTCAGTCGTCTTGAGTAGTGAACCGAATTTATTATTTATAAATATTTTGAACATGTGCCTTGTGCTAAAGTCGAAAAATGAATCTGAATTATTTAATCGATTAAGGCCCGATTCGACTACACTTTTGTCCGAGAAAACTCTTAGTGTAACTGGCACATTGACAGTTTCAGTATCAGAAATATGTCAAAATATCGAGAAACAAATGCATAAAAAAAACTGATGATTTATTCTGAGATTAATATTTACTCTTGTTTGGTCGAAGGGTGGATTAGACCAAACAAGAGTAATGAATACTGAAACCATACCATACTGAAACTGTCAGTGCCAGTTATACCAGGAGTTATTTTCGGATAAAAGTTTGGTCGAATCGGGCCTAAGTATTAAAAAGATTAAAAGTTCAAATTGAACGAAATAAACTCAATACCACTTAGCATGATGAATGAAATCCTGAAATTCATAAACCTTTTTATGTCCAAGAATGGGCTGACATATTCTAATAGAAATTCAACTTACAGGAGCAAGAAATGGAAAAACAGAAGCTACTGTTCCACCAAGCCAGGCTAGCGGACAGAGGCGTGGCGGAGATGGTTCTCCTACACATCTCCGCTTCCAAAGGCGTGCCAAGTGAGATGGTCATGAAGACGTTGGAACTTGGCATCTCTATTCTGAGAGGAGGCAACATTGACATTCAGATGGTGAGAAAAAAATCAAGATAGTTTGTTCCATAATTTATAGATCGTGTCATCCACGAAGACGCGCCCTACCATTCTTCACTAATGTTTGAAATGGTTCGTGACACCAAAAGTAGCAAAAGAAGTTCTCAAAACCGTTTTGTTACAACTGGAATTGTCAACTTTATGACCACTTTGGGTGTCACTAACTATTTGACGCTGACTCTACTGTAAAACTCAAATACCTACTCGAATTTTTTTTGACATGTTTATTTGAAATTAGTAATTGTATTGTTTTTCGTTAATTTTATTGATATTGTAATTTTAATGTGAATTTTAATTAATATGAATTTATTTTATTGCATTCTTTTTGCTCCTGCGTACAAGGTACCCACTGAAAACCAGTGTCTTGACACGTGGCAGTAAAATGTCAACTGTCAAGATGATAGATACTGAGTTGGTGACCTCTTTGACCTCGCAACATTTTTTTTCCTCTTTTCTCTTCATTGTTTTTGTATTTTTTTTTATTAGTAGTCAAATAAATATTTTTTCTTTCTTTCTTTCTTTCAAATTAAATATATGTTTCATATTTTAGACCGATACAGGTCTGACTTCTACATTTATATTCGCAGGGCATGTTGAACCATCTCAAGGACAAAAAGGACGTCGGCTTCTTCACGTCCATCGCTGGTCTCATGAACTCCTGCTCAGTGCTCGACCTGGATGCCTTCGAGAGGAACACCAAAGCTGAAGGTGAGACTCGAATATCAATCGAATTAATAAATTGATTAATTACAACGAATTTATAAATTGATTATTGTCAATACTACAACGACATGTTAGGCTTCTGGTACACGCTAAATTTCACCCTGTCTGTCGCTGGAAAGATATGAATTTCGTAGTTTCGTAGCTACGAACAAGAATTATTTGTTGGTCAGCGCCGGAGCAATGTACACAACACGAATTCTTGCGTAGGCCCGGCGACTTTTCTTAGCAACATACAATACAACAATGAGGGCTATCGTTTTAGCGCTCACCAGTTAGCGCCACTTGCACTGTAGAGTAAGGTCCTGTCACTTGCTAGTAGCGAAGACAGTGGCACCAACTGGTGAGCGCGAAAGTGGTAGGAGGACTATCGCATTTGCACTCATCAAGATGGCGCCACTGTAGAGTAAGGTCCTGTCAATCGCCAGGGGTGCCAACCGTTAAGTATAAAAACGATAGCCCTCATTACCTTTTGAACGCTATATTTGAACATAGCGAAGCTATCACGGTGTAGAATCAAAAACGAATGTCACATTGTCTATAGCTTATTTCATTCTCACAAGCCAATTCATTCTATTTTGTTCTTTCAATTCCAATATTCCCAACATTCTTAATCATTCCCAGGCCTGGGCGTGGGACTAGAAGGAGCAGCGGGAGAGAAAAACATGCACGATGCAGAATTTACGTGCGCACTGTTCCGGTTTATACAGCTGACCTGTGAAGGACACAACTTGGGTAAGAACCTGCGTGACATTGCCATAATTACTTTCTTCTCCTATTATCAGACTTCTCGATCCGCCATAGCTTCATTTTTTTACCCACAACAGAGAATCTCTAGGCCTATATCTCATCTGATAGAAAATGATGATCAGGCCGAAACTGAAAGCGAACTTTTCCCGGAATCCTCAGCCCCTGAGATTTTTAACCATAGCTACATTATATGCAGCTAAACTGGCGGCATAATGTGCCTTCTGCTGACTGCTGAAGCCGATATTTCTTTGTAAACAATATCCTAACGAAACAAAGAATATTCGAATAATTACTACACAAAACCTGGAAATCGAAGTCAGTACCATTTTTTGTATGACTACAGAGACGTTCCCATAGTGAAAAGGAAATGTAACATGTGAGCCTTTTCAGATGCCTTGGGGCAATATGATAACTTCGGACTACGAAACTTTCTATGCCCGCATGGTCAATCGTCGTATAACTCTTAACTGAAGAATAAATTTGGCTCATGGACAGTTTCAGTATGGGAAATATGTCAAAATGATAAGTTTATTCTTCAGGTAAAATATATCTGACGATTGGGAAATCAGCCCTAAGTAAAACCTAAAACTCCCTACAGTTGGGCTGAGGTCTACCCCCTAGAATGGAACCTTTGCTTATTCTGTTTTATTTGACAGAATGGCAGAACTACCTCAGAACGCAAGCCGGCAACACCACCACGGTCAACGTGGTCATCTGCACCGTGGACTACCTGCTAAGGCTGCAGGAGTCTATTATGGACTTCTACTGGCATTATTCTAGCAAGGTAATTTTTATTTTCTTGCTTTTCGTGTAACTTATTTTAATTGTTATACTGGCGACCACGGAAGACGTAGCCTGAGAAGGCTCCCCGCTAGGTGGACCGACGATCTGGTGAAGGTCGTGGGGAGAACCTGGATGCGGGCAGCGCAGGATCAGTCGATATGGAAATCCTTGGAGGAGGCCTTTGTTACACCATTGTTACAATGATGTAAGCCCCTGACTTAGTCCAATGAGGGCTATCGTTTTTATACTTAACAGTTGGCACCCCTGGCGATTGACAGGACCATACTCTACAGTGGCGCCATCTTGATGAGTGCAAATGCGATAGTCCTCCTACCACTTTAGCGCTCACCAGTTGGTGCCACTGTCTTCGCTACTAGCAAGTGACAGGACCTTACTCTACAGTGGCGCTAACTGGTGAGCGCTAAAACGATAGCCCTCATTACAATGGTTGCTATTATGTGAAGACGTACTAAACGAACTACGCTGTAATTGTATTACCATCAACAAATTGTGTCTTACTTGAATGTTGTTTCAAACCTTCAATAAACGAGGACACAAAGTTATTTTTGAATTTTTTTCTTTGACCCACCTATGACATTTCAGGAAAGGAAAGAATGAAAAAAAAGATTTCAGGACTTCCAAATCCAATTATAATTTATTTTTTATTTGCAATAAGTTTACTTACTACAAGACCTACGAGTATCTACAGTTTTAATTACCCTTTAATTTTTGCACACCCTGTATACTCACTTATGCAACTTATGTCATGTTGACTTTTTTATTGTTTATCTATTTTATAGTCTCAAAATAACCATTGACTTTTTCATCAGGAACTCATAGACCCAGCGGGCAAAGCCAACTTTTTCAAGGCGATAGGCGTCGCTTCTCAAGTATTCAACACGCTCACTGAAGTCATCCAGGGACCGTGTACCCAGAATCAACAGGCTTTGGCACATTCCAGGTACGATACTATTATTTATAAGGAAAACAAACAACGCGTTAAGCGCATGTTCAGAGGCAGTTAAGCATCTTTAGTTCTTGAAAATTACGCTAATAGAATAAAGTAACCGTTAGGGGCGCTGTACAAACTGCCATAAAACTGTCTGAATAGGGATGATGACTGGGTAATTAAATCGAAATTCTATTTAGTCCGTCAGACAGATAATTAGAAAATATTAGACTCATATTTTTTATTTTTTTCCATAATCCAATAATTACAGTATTATATTGAGTTGAAATGTCGCGTGACGTCACTTTTGAGTAAAAATTCTACTCAAGCGTGACGTATCGCGCCATTTCAATTCGATGTAGGACTGTTATTATTGAATTATGAAAGAAAATAAAAAATATAAGTCTAATATTTTCTAATTATCTGTCTGACGGACAAATAATTGAAATTTTGTCATCAAGCCTATTGACCGTAAAACATGTCTCAGTAAATAAACAGTTCACTTAGGCTGAGTTTCACTATCTTACTTTAAGCGTTATAACGATATAACGATAACCGGTGTTTTTGTATGGAATTAGACAGATTTTTAAGTTAAAGTAAGATGGTGCAACCCAGCCTTGGCCTTATAAAGGATTAACTAAACATATCGATAAACCAATTAACCATTAATGACTTAGTGGGAATATAATTCCCACCATATTTTTTAATCCTTTTCCCTTAATTTAAGATCCAAAACAATACAAAAATTTGAACTTGCTTCTGTGTTAAGACTTTAACTTCACATAATTCTTCACCAGATTGTGGGACGCGGTAGGCGGTTTCCTCTTTCTCTTCTCCCACATGCAGGACAAGCTGTCCAAGCACTCCTCACAAGTGGACCTGCTGAAGGAACTGCTTAACCTGCAGAAGGACATGATCACCATGATGCTGTCTATGCTGGAAGGAAACGTCGTCAACGGTTAGTAAATAGATTTTGTAATTGCTGATTTTTGAACTTTTAACTGAAGATTAGGTTTGGCACATTGACACTATTGACAGTTTCAGTATGGGAAATGTGTCAAAATCACAAGTGTATTCTCCAGGTAAAAATCTGACGATTGAAAAATCTGTCCTAAACAGTTCAGATATTTGACCATAATCACAACTAATGTTAGGTAGTGCATAGGTACCTGCCTTGTAAGAGCTTATTCACTCTCGCCTTGAAGAGGCCCAAAGTTCGGGAAAGATATCAGCAGGCAGCGAATTCCAGTCCCTAAATTGATTAATAAATAAAACAGTCATCTGTCATCAGCGCATGACGCTTCGCATTTCTGTTGCTAAATGGCACCTATTGCAACTATACAGGGTGAAAACGACAAGTGGTCTCACTCGATTATTTCTAAATTATACAAGATATTGAAAAGCTGGAAAAGTGGAAACGTTGAATTGAAACCTTCGGCCTGATCGTCACTTACCATCAGGTGAGATACAGGCTAATAGCTTCCTCGTTGTGTCGTTGTGGATAAAAAAAAATCGGATAGATCCAGTTTATTCTGTAACCTATTATTGATGACATTTGAAAGCACTTTCAAGACCAGTAACTAGTTTTTTTATATCTTTTATAGTTTAGAAATAACCGATTGAGATCATCGTTTCCACCCTGTATAAAAAGCCACTTTGTTTAGCTTGATATGTATAAAAATATAACCCATCCTAACCCATCCGCAGGTACCATCGGAAAACAAATGGTGGACACCCTAGTAGAGTCTGCTTCAAACGTGGAGCTGATCCTGAAATACTTCGACATGTTCTTGAAGCTGAAAGACCTGACGTCTAGTGCCAGTTTCCAGGAGATTGACGCCAATAACGATGGATGGGTCCTGCCTAAGGACTTTAAGGAGAAGATGGAACAGCAAAAGAGTTATACGCCGTGAGTTTGTTGAGATATTTAACCTTGTGATACAGTCAAAGCAAAATAGATCGATACCGGTCGCAGTGTTACTAGGACTTTATAGAACTAGAATAGCCGCTCAACAAAAAAAAAACTCAAAGGAAATGTTCTTGCAACAACTCAGTTATTCCTGGTTCTGGTATTGATTCCTTTTGATTAAAAAACATTAGTTCTGGCTTTTTGTCACAGCTCAGCGCTAAGCAGTAAGTAAAGTAAATAGAAAATAACAATTTGAAGAAGTGATTCAACACACCTGGCTCTATGAAATGAGTTGTACCAAATCAGTGTACCCATGTCTCTCTCCTAAACGAAGCTCAAAAAATTTATTGGTTCTCAACTTAAAATTCAAGAATGGTTACCTTCCCCCGAGTTCGATGTATTTAAGAGGCCTTGAATCACTATTGCTGGCAGACAGAACTATCTAAGGGCCCTTACGCACGACAAAGTGGACTGTCGTGTCCCAAGTCTTTATTTGAAATCTGATTTCCAAGTTCGAACGGATTGGTTTTTTGTGAATCCCAAATTCGAAAGGATTGGTTACACTACAAACGGGAAGTTCTACTAAACGGAATCCTGCAAAAAACGATGTCTCTGTGAGAAAGAGCCCTAAGCAGACATATCGATGTACAGTCGACAGCACATCAAGCTATACATTTTCGATGCAAAGTCGCCCCTATCGCAACTACGTAAGATACCACAGTGTTTACGTTGACGTGCTGTTGACCGTACCATCGGCAACAGTATTAATTAAATAAATAATAAATATCCTTAGACATTTTACACTGCGCTTCTAGTCCCAAACTAAGCAAAGCTTGTGCTATGGGTACTAGACAACGGATATAAACATACTTAAATACTTTTTTTTTTGTAAATACATACTTATTATACATAGAATTAACTATCCATTGCCGGTCATGTCGTCTCGTTCTATCGCAAAGAATCACCATTTGATGAGAGCGAGAGCAAAAACGGAAATGGATAGTTAACAGTGTGGCCGAATCCTAAATCACTACAAACTTTCTAACCAAGCCTACCTTTCCAGCGAAGAGATAGAATTCCTTCTAGCCTGCTGCGAGACCAACCACGACGGGAAGCTGGACTACATCGGCTTCTGCGACCGCTTCCACGAGCCCGCCAAGGAGATCGGCTTCAACCTCGCTGTGTTGTTAACAAACTTGTCTGAACACATGCCGAATGAACCTAGGTGGGTATCGATAATTTTTTTCATAATTCAAACCCTGGTCTTTCTAATATAAATAAATAAAAATAACTGGCAACTAGTGGTGACTGAGTTTGTTCCGGCGTATCTTCTCAGCACTTCTCATATTGTACAAAGTACAGTTTATTGCAAGCAAGCATAAAACCAAATGTTATTTACGCTTTGCTAGTTAACATTATTTATTTTGTTAAATCTACGATTAGTTTACTGCTGCCTTTATTAGTGTGCACACACATTACATCATTGTATCAAGTCGAAACAGTAAATCTAGTATTTCAAGTCTTCGAGTGTTGTTATTATCAAGATCACCCAAGATACATCAGTTTAATGTATGGACCAGTCAAGGGCTCATACACATATGTTTGTTTCAAAGCGCTGGTAGAGCCCAATAGATGAGGAGATATGTAAAGTGCCCTTACGGCTACCTTTTTTTATTTATTTGACGGTCATAAGTTCTACTTTAACTGATTCTTCCGATCCGGGTTGCCACTTTAAAACTTCTCCTAATATAAACTTGGCCAAAACCCAACCACTAAAAAAACTAACGCAACTAAAAATATTAGTTTAGAGTTAATTGATGTGTATCTTTTAGGGGAATTATTATTAGTTAACTACCCATTTATGTGTGTGCCATGACTTAATCTAATTGTCGTTTTTTATCGTCATCAAAATTTAATTTCTTATCCCTACTAGTATTATAAATGCGAAAGTAACTCTGTCTGTCTGTGTCGCTTTCACGCCTAAACCACTGAACTGATTTTGATGATGGCATAGAGATAGTTTCAGTCCCAGAAAAGCACATAGGATAGATTTTATCTCGGTTTTTGAAACAGGGACGCGCGCCGTAAAGTTTTTCTGTGACAGACAAAATTTCACGCGGGCGGAAAGCTAGTTTGTAATAAATGATCTCTCTTTCTTCTCCCACAGGCTAGCCCGTTTCCTAGAGACGGCTGGTTCGGTCCTAAACTACTTCGAGCCGTTCCTCGGCCGCATCGAAATCATGGGCGGGTCCAAGCGCATCGAGCGGGTCTACTTCGAAATCAAAGAGTCCAATATCGAGCAGTGGGAGAAGCCGCAGATTAAGGTTAGTCTTGTTGTAAGCACCTTTTTAAAGGAGGCGTTAAAGCCTGGTCTCTGAGGACGTAGAATTTTGTCTAATGACCCCAAGCTACCCATCCTTATCGCTCGCGTATAATTATGTTGCTGTCGCGCTCGCACACTCACTGCGGCCGCCCGTCGCACAGTCGCGACAGCAATATAATTACGCGCGAGCGATAAGGATGGGTAGCTTGGGGTCATTAGACAAAATTCTACGTGCTCAGCGACCAGATTATAGAAAGTGTGAATTATAGGTCTAGTGTTAACTCAGTCAGTGCCTGAGGTATGGGAGCGACACGGGAGGGTGTTTTTAAGATGTCAAACGTCAGCGAGACTAAAGCCTCTGACTTCTGTGTGTATGACAGGAGTCAGTCTCTTCTTCCATTATTTTTGTCAAAATTTCATTTCAATATTTAATCCAATAATAAAATACAAATCGATGAGTATATCCCTAGAATCATGTAATCCAATGAAATTGAAAGGTAAAAACGTTTTTTTTTCTTTCGAAACTGTTTTTTTGAGGAAGAACAATGATTTATATTTTACCCCCGTTAGTAGACCCCGTTTTACCCCATTAGGTGTTAAATTTTGCAAAATCCCATTTTAGTGAGCACCTACGTTCTAAAAGGAACCCCCATGCAAAGGAGACTCCTAGCACTTGTAGTTTCTGAGATTTCGTGACGAGCGAGTCAGACAGTGACCTTTTTGAAACTTGAAGAAAATAGATTTAGTGAGACTGACGAGTATACGGAACACCATTTTAGACCGACTCGCACTTGACTATTTATCACCTATTCTCTAATTTATTTTCTTCTTTATCTTCCCAGGAATCCAAACGCGCGTTCTTCTACAGCATAGTGACAGAAGGTGGCGACAAAGAGAAGTTAGAAGCGTTCGTCAACTTCTGCGAGGACGCCATCTTTGAAATGACGCACGCGTCCAGTTTGATGGCCNTTCTCTCTTTCTTCTCCCACAGGCTAGCCCGTTTCCTAGAGACGGCTGGTTCCGTCCTAAACTACTTCGAGCCGTTCCTCGGCCGCATCGAGATTATGGGCGGGTCGAAGCGCATAGAACGGGTCTACTTCGAAATCAAGGAGTCGAACATCGAGCAGTGGGAGAAGCCGCAGATTAAGGTTATTTATTTATCTATAATATTTATTTATAATCTGCTTGAAGGCTCACAGAAAGTCCAACGCGCCAACAAGTTATACAATACAGATAATTTATAATATCAATTTCAATAGGTAAAATTGTCAAATAATTAAAACTTAGTCTTGTTATAAGTACCTTTTTAAAGGAGGCGGTAAAGCCCGGTCTCTGAGCACGTAGAATTTTGTCTAATGACCCCAAGCTACCCATCCTTATCGCTCGCGCGTAATGTAATGTTGCTGTTGCGCTCGCACACTCGCTGCGGCCGCCCGTCGCACAGTCGCGACAGCAATATAATTACGCGCGAGCGATAAGGATGGGTAGCTTGGGGTCAATGGACAAAATACTACGTGCTCAGCGACCAGATTATAGAAAGTGTGAATTATAGTTCTAGTGTTAACTCAGTCAGTGCCTGAGGTATGGGAGCGACACGGGAAGGTGATTTGAGATGTCAAACGTCAACGAGACTTTAAATGTGCTTCAGATTTGTATGCTCCATCATGTCATACTATGTTAAGGTCTTAGCATACGTAACGGATAATTCCCGAATTTTGCACAATCCCATCTCAGTGACACCTATCTAAAAGGAACCCTCATGCAAAATTTGAGACTCCTAGCACTTGTAGTTTTTGAGATTTCGCGATGAATGAGTCAGTCAGTGACCTTTTTGAAACTTCTGGAAGAAAATAGATTTAGTGAGACAAACGAGTACACGGAACACCCATTTTAGACCGACTCGCACTTGACTATTTATCACCTGTTCTCTAATTTATTTCCTTCTTTCTTCTCCCTTAGGAATCCAAACGCGCGTTCTTCTACAGCATAGTAACAGAGGGCGGCGACAAAGAGAAGTTAGAAGCGTTCGTCAACTTTTGCGAGGATGCCATCTTTGAAATGACGCACGCGTCAAGTCTGATGGCCGCTTGTGAAGAATCGGCTGGCGGACCGAAGAATAGGGAGGCTAGTTACATGTACATGGGCGATGATGATGATGAAAGGTCAGTTTTTATGTTTATATTTGCATACTAGGGTAGGGATTATCTCTGGGTAAAAATATATTATTTCAGTTAGCTTATCAAAAAATACCCGAACATGAGTTTTTCGCTTTAGGCCCGGTTCACCAAACTTTTATCCGAGCATAACTCCTGGTATTGACATTGACAGTTTCAGTATGGGGAAATATGTCAAAACTGACGATTTATTCTGAGATTAATATTTACTCTCGTTTGGTCGAATCCACCCTTAACAAATCAGTGAAAATTAACTGCGCCAAAGTTCGAAATGGGGCTCGGTGAAGTTACTACGTGTTTAAATGTGTAGCACGTTGTGACGTCATGTGAATTTTCAATTTCGATTTCGAACGAAAATTTTGCGTTTTCGTTCGAAATCGAAGTGCATGATAGATAGAATGAAAGTTTAATTAAGGTATTAATACTATAATGGTACGGAACCATTCGCGTACCAGTTCAACTCGGACTTGACAAGTTTTAAAATTAATATCTAAACTAATTTCTGTATTCCGAATACTAATTTGGAAGTAACCTACTGTATTAAACCCATGTTCGCAAATAAAAATGATTTGATTTGATTTCAAGATTTATATAAAAACATATTTTTGTCCACAGAGCCGGCAAAGACCCATTCCGTCGAGGTCTTCAATCCGTCAAAGACGGCATCTCCACTGCATTCTCGTCCTTATCGCCATCTAACATAAAGCAGAAAATCGCAGATCTACAGCAGATGCCTCCAGCGGAATTGGCCGTGGGATTCTTCAAAATGTTCTTCTATCTGTTCTATTACTTAGGCTATGGTGGATTGGTTGTTGTCAGGTGAGTTTAAACCTTATGTTTTAAAAAATAAAGTACTAATTTCACATAACAAAATAACTGGCCAGGATAAAAAAAACGAAAATTAATTTTAAGGCGTAAGTACACTGCGCGAAAGTGATCGAGACAGATTGTGTAAACATTGTTTCGCCGTGCGTCGTCCATACTTCGGTGTGCGTGTTCGCGCTTTTGTTCAATCAATTTCCCGCGTAGTGTACCTGCGCCGTTATATTACGTGATATTTTGCAACACAATTCGGTCGTTCCATTGTACAGATGACGGTACATCAACTAAACTGTAGCATCTTATACAGTTGCAATAAGTGTGATTTTGCTACAAAACAATTCAGCCTGATGTGCTGACTACTGTACAAATAAAAATCATAATTGTAAATTCAGTAGAAACGCCAATTTCAATCTTATTCATACCGGTTTAGGAAACCTAATCGAGTGGAAGAGATTTTCTTATGGTTATATTTTTATGCATTTCACGCGATACATTGGTGCACAGCCATTGGTAAATGCTTTATATAATAATGTCTGTCTGTCTGTACATAGATAGTAAATGTGTCGTTTTTTTATTTTAGACGTGTTTTTGAGTTTAAGCAGATAAAAAAACTACTTACAATAGAGTTTCTTACCCTCCTTCTTACAATACTGTCCCAATAGATCTTATATTAGTCCTTTCTAGCTCCTCCTTAGTTTAGTTCAAAAAGTAGATACCTACCTAACTGTATTAATCTCTGACTTTTAAATAAGTGTCCTTTCAGCACCGGCTTTTGTTTTTACCTAAGCTTAAAACACCCTCTCTGTCTGTCTTTCTCTCTCATAGTCTTAATATCGATAGATTAAGCGTCTATATGTATTTGATAGTTATACGATATATTTAATTAATCCTTTCGACGCCGAAATAAGGATATTATGCGTTTCGCTACTATGTGTCGCTTTTATTGTGAACGTTATGCCGCCAGCTAAACCTTCCAAGTAGACAGTTAAATTATTTTAAAAAGTATTACCAGACCCAACTTCTCTTAAAAACACTGTTTTTGATGTAAATCCATTTCATTTTTATTTAAAGGCAAAATTCTTTACTTTGTAATTAATAAAAGTCAATTTCCTTAGTTAACTAACTTGTTCTAACTGCTATATCTACAAAATAGGGGTTCGTTTGACGACTCTTAAAAAGTAAATCAATATCTCTGTTTTTTCTCACATAAAATCCTGTTTCTTTTTAAATAATTTTGCACCAATGCACATTTGTTTAAATATTCTCACATTGATTTTAATCACTGCTCATCGATATTCGTTTATTTATTTCCTTTAGACCATGTCCAGTTGACGCGTTTTTACTCGCGCGTTCGAATCCTACGATTGTGTGGTAAAGTCAAAACGTTCGTGACACGCAAAGTAGGCAAAAAGTTCGCAGCACGTCTTTGTTACAATTGGAATAAGGTTGTGTTGTCAACTTTTTGGTCACTAAGGCTGGGTTGCACCATCTTACTTTAACTTTGACAAACGCGCGTAATTATGTTGCTGTCGCGCTCGCACACTCACTGCGGGCACACTGCGGGCGCCCGTCGCACACACACAGTCGCGACAGCAATATAATTACGCGCGAGCGATAGGTAAGGATGGGTAGCTTGGGGTCATTGGACAAAATTGTACGTGCTCCGCGACCAAACTTTATCCATGTCGCACATTTGGCGTGTGCGGACGGAATTTATGAACTTTTAGTATCTCAATGATCACGAATTTCAAAACGCGAGTAAAAACGCGTCACCTGGACAAGTTCTTAGCTTACGTTCTATAACTTCCAGGTACATATTCGGCGTTCTTCTGGGTCTGATGCGAGGTCCTCAAATGGAGGAGCCGCCTCCGGAACCGACTGAGGAGGAGAAAATCGGTCAGTTGAGGCACAGATTGCTCGCACAAAGTAAGGCACAAACACAGGTACTCGTGTGAAGCTTCGGGCAGTTCTTTGGGCTATTCGGGCTTTGCGTTCGATCACTTGAAGTGGGGAGTAAAGGGTTAACACTGTAAATAAAAATAATTTTCAAGTCAAAATTAAAAATATGGTCACATTGAAAAAATCGGGCTCAAAATGCAAAATCAAATATTCATTCAACTATTTTTGAAACTAAAATCGAAATCTCACTGATTTCAATGAAGATATTCGATTTTACGTTTGCCTACACTTACAGCAAGGCATCGATCTCTCATAAATCGTCCCTGCTCTCGTATGAGCGTTAAACTCGATTAAATAAGTATTCTCAAAGCAATTTTTTTAGATCTCATCGTTACCTTCAGATGGGATTAAGTCAAGTGTACTCAAGCCCATATTTTTTGTAGTACACTATAGTCCCTCATAAGTGCCAAATATTGGTCTAAAAAAACATTTTCATTTCATAAAGATTGACTGTCTTTCATGATAGTTTTAAAAACAATTATAAAACTGTATACAGGGTGGCCAAAACAGTTAGGTCTAAAAGAAAAATTTAGATTCCTTACGTCAAGGTGTACCTAAATCACCCCCATGTATATTATACAATTTTGCTTAGTTTAGGAGATAGAGTTAATTTTGTGATATTTTAAAATTTTGTGACCTAGTAGGCTTTAAACATTTTTTCTTTTTTTAGACAGATTTGTTATTAATGCAGATGTTTGAAAAAAATAATCACCTTCCTATCTATGTTTCAAGATACTAAAGTTTTGCTAGAAACATTAAAATTATGCTTTTATCAGAACACTATCAAATTTTCAACTTAAAAGTTTAAGAAAAAAAAAGAACTTCCATAGGTCCAAAATCATTTTAAAAACTGCGCCGTTTCCTGAACATTCATAATAATACAAAAAAACATGTAATGGGCCACTATTTCCTGTAATCGGTCCACTAAAGTGTTAAGTCGGAGATTCCGTTACATGTTTTTGACTTTCTTAGAGTGAATTAATATTGGGTATCCTCTAGTTTACATTACGTAGAACAGATTTAGAGCAGTAACTGGACAGAACATGTTTTTATTCTCAACGAGGAAGCTCTTGCCCTTCATCACACCTGGTGAAAACTGATGATTAGGCTGAAGGTGGAAGTGAACTTCAACTACAGAGGAGCTATGGCTCATATATCGTCACAAAATTTTAAAATATCACAAAATTAACTCTATCTCCTAAACTAAGCACAACGGTATTTTTTTTTATGTGATAGGAGGCAAACGAGCAGACGGAGTTTTACGCAGCAGTATTACATACATGGGGGTGATTTAGGTACACCTTGATGTAAGGAATCTAAATTTTTCTTTTAGACCTCACTGTTTTGGCCACCCTGTATATAAAATAAATCTATATATATATAAAAGAAAGTCGTGTTAGTTACTTCGCTTATAACTCAAGAACGGCTGAACCGATTTAGCTGAAAATTGTCAGGGAGGTAGTTTAGAGCCAGGAGAAGGACATAGGATACTTTTTATCCCGTTCGAAATTTAAAAAAAGTCTGCTTATTTATTGCCATTAAGGCGGAACAAATTTCGCCGGGTCAGCTAGTTTTAAATAAAAAAGTGATCGAACGCTATCTACAAGGAACACTAAACCGCCAAACGCAGGTTGAATAACAAAATAACACATTTTTCCAAATTTTTTACAACTGATTGGACTCGACAAGGTTCACAAAGTAACACATGACCATGATGTCACATCATAACAAACAATTTGTAACAACTTCTGTAACAAAAATCTGCTTTTGGATGATAACACGCAGGTAACACACATTTATAGATTGTGTCATCCACTCGGACGCGCCCCACCAATTTTTGGTCTCGGTCGCGCGGGGTGCGGGGAGTTTGATCCGAGCGGCATTATTGTAGTGTGCGTTGTACTCATTGATAAATTTAGCGTGGTGGGGCGCGTCTTTGTGGATGAAACGATCTATATTTATCTTTATACATCTTTTCAATGTGTAATTTACGTGTTTCGATGTTTTCTTGCAATATTATAATGTGATATTTTTATGTTAACGCTTACTACAAAAATAACATTATTTGAATGTTCAATAATTTATAATGTTGGAACCAAAACCATGAATTATTTTTAGGACATCCTGTAAGAATAAGAATAGAATAAATTTATTACTTAAGAGCGTTTACGCCGTTTGGCGCAAAAACAGTACTTTTTCAACTCGTTATAATCATTAACCAGTAATACTACAAATATGTTATAGGCATAAATAGTTAGGCAATTTCGTCGTCTAAATAGTTAATTGAGAAAATATTGCGATTAGTTTAGTATTTAAGAATTCTATCATGATAAGTCCACACAGGTTTTGTAAATTTCCACTTTAGCGTCAGTTTACAAGCTGAAATTTTTATAAAAATACTGTGAAAACGATTTAACAAACATTTATATCCTATGGCATAGATCCTTGGGCAAATAGTTATCTGAGAAAATTTTTAGATTTAAGCATTTTACAATAAGAAATCACAAATTAAAAGAACGTGAAATACCCAAAAATCAAAGTGATTTTTTCATCAATATTCTTCCTTTATTCAACATAAAAATAGCTTAATATAATAAAACAACATCTTCTTTAAAATATTTACTTTGAAACGATATTTAATTCATTGTTATTGTTTTGCTATAAACATTTGAAAACTATTAAAAAACGCCGCGCGCGAATCATTTCCAATGATGCCCCTTGAAACGCCGCGCTTCGCGTAAACGCTCTTAATAAAACTTATAGATACATTTGAATTCACTTACTTAAATTAAGTGTGCTCACTTAATTCACGTCCCATTACTTAGGTTGTATACTTACTTAGCCCTCAATTTTGGATTAGCGACTTTACTTATTATATACTTGTTTTGTTCTGAAGGATAGGTACAAAAAATCTCTTAAGATAAAATAAGGTTTATCAAACGTTAAGATCTAAAGCTTGGATTAAGGTTCATTAGGTTCTATAGTAGTTTGGAACTTCTTCGTAAATTAGTCGTCAACGTATAATAAATGAATCTGTTGGGATGTTAATTCTAATTTTGTGAATAATCCAGGTCCTTCACGACACCTACCAGCGTTGCCGCCGGCCGATGACACTGGACAGATGCAAGTGCAGGCCTTCGGTTTGGATATCACTAAAGAGGACAATGGCCAGTGAGTATTTGTTACCCTAAATAAGTTTGTAAGTAGAAAAATGCGATGGATAGACCTGCAGAGCTACTCCGAAACGCAGTTTACGTAGTTTCGAGTCTATCTGTCCCCGTCACTCATGCTGGCATGTCGCTTTGCGTGAGAGGGATGGCATCATTCGAAACTTCAGATAACATTTTTCGGAGTAACCCCCTGATCGAGACTGGGCGGTCTCCTGTGAGTGCATCAAGTTGACTACTAACAGGCAAAGATTGCGAGACATCTTAACCTTTAAACAGGCTCTGGTAGCCATAGATCCCACATCAATTTGAACTTTATGCTGTGAAGATACGGTTGAAAACCAATGACTCTTTTTAACCAGGTTAAAAAAGATCCGCCCACAAAAATGAAGACTCCTGACGATCTATGTATTTACAAAAAAAGTACCACAGAGTATCTAAAGACTCTTTACTGCTTTTTTCTTGTTTGAGATGCTTGAATTTAATAAAAGGCAACTAAGAATATGAGGCTTCCCAAACCCTTCTGGCCAGCGTAGGGAGTGTATACCAAATCTCTCATTTGCCTTTGGTAGAAACAATTATGCTTCTGCAGTGGAGACTAAGGCTGCGTTTCCACCAGAGATGTGCGAATATGCGTTTGTAAAGAACCAATAGAACTGCTTCATTTACTGTGATAAAAAATAATAAAAATAAATCTTTGGACAATTCACACAACGCCAGCTAGCCCCAAAGTAAGCAACTTAATGCTTGTGTTATGGGTGCTAGCTTAACGGATATACTACTTATATACTTTTTTTAAATACATACATATTATACATAGTAACACCCAGACCCGTCACAGAAATTAAAATAAGCGATTCTATTGGTTCTTTTCAAACACATTGCTCGCTACGCATCCTCGCACATATCTGGTGGAAACGCAGCCTAAATGCCCTAATTTTGATGATAATGATGCTTGAATTTTAATTAAAGAGCGTCAAAATACCAGCTAACCTAAACGTTTTACCAAAAAACTAATCTACCCACGTTTGCAGAATACAAGTGAAACCGCACGAGTCTCCAAGCACATCGTCCCCATCATCTGGTGAAGAAGCCGACGCGTCTTTGGACGAAGGAGCCGAGCATACGGAAGAGCAGAGGCCTCCATCACTGATCGATCTGTTGGGGTGAGAAACTTATCAGCTTTCCGTCTTTTGTCACCTTTTTTATACCTGCCTCATATCTTCTTACCTCCTTACTGATAAAAAGTTTAGGTGCAAGTTCATAATCAACTGCACACAGTAGCAGCAGGCGACATATCGTCACGACACTATACTGGCTTCTATACATATTTCTATGAAATAACATCCATTTAATGGAATTTTATAGAATTAAGAATAGAAAATAATGTGTCGCGGTGACGTCGTCTGCTATTGCTGTGCGGAGTCAGCTACGAACTTGCACCTTTACACGCATGTTGAACACTATTTGAATGATCAAACGAACTTACCAAGTGAAGTTCGATCTAAATTATCCTGTTTTCGCCGAAGAGATTTAANCGAAAAATAAGGACCACCCTAGTGTGCACTCATTGTTAATTTAGCGTAGTGCGGCGCGTCTTTGTGGATGAAACGATCTATATTTATCTTTATACATCTTTTCAATGTGTAATTTATGTGTTTCGATGTTTTCTTCTCGCAATATTATAATGTGATATTGTTATGTTAACCCTTACTACAAAAATAACATTATTTGAATGTTCAATAATTTATCTAGCAAGACAAAAATGGGCATAGAGGAATCACTTATAAGGACCTAATCGGTCAAACAACATAAATGTGGGAATTCGAGTCAAAATTAAGGTTTTTTGTCTGATTCCTTAAACCTTCAACCTTAGAACATTCTGTGCTCACTTAATTCACTTTTGATTACTACTTAGCCCTTAAATTTTTGATTAGCGACGTTACATATTCCCTCTTTTATTCGAAAAGGAAAATAGAGTACGAGTATATCCTATCAAACATTAAAAATATACATTAAGCTTCGATCACGGTTTCTCCAGTTTTTAGCTTTTAACAAGTCATGTCAACACATTATTGAACATACATCTACACTTATTGTAAAATAAAGTGAAAAAGAAACACCAGCGGTGGTCTCAACTAAAATCCGAAAGAATTTGGTGGGATATTAATTTTAATTTTGTGAATAATCCAGGTCCATCACGACACCTGCCAGCGTTGCCGCCGGCCGATGACACTGGACAGATGCAAGTGCAGGCCTTCGGTTTGGATATCACTAAAGAGGACAATGGCCAGTGAGTATTTGGTACACTCGCTTACACCTGGGCAAACACAATATCCTAAGCCCACAAGATGTAAAACATATCGCCCCCCAAAAGATACTGCACTCACTACCTAATTGATGTAGGACTCGGAGGCGAACTGTAAGGCCCAGAACAGACGGTGAAACGCAACTGCAACGAAACTGCAACTTTGTGATGATTCTGATGAATGAAACTGAAACTGAAAGTTTCAAACTGGTCGCGTCATGTGTGGGCTCTCAACGGACGCTATGGCAGTAACTTAGATGCAACTTAAAAGTAACTAGCAGTTGCAGTTTCGTTGCAGTTGCATTTCACCGTCTGTTCTGGGCCTAAGGAAAACAGCGACAATAGATCGGTACCGGTCGTAGTAATATGAGACTTCATAGATCGAACCAGAATAGCTGCTCAACACAAAGATAAGTATTTGGTACTCTAAGTAAGAATTCTGGAAGTATACATATTATTACAGTCATTGAAGTGTGATGACAATGATTTTATATTTAAGTATGTATTATGTACGATGTAAGGTATTCGTAGACACTGGACAAGGGATATACTATACTTATACTTAACTTACTTTATGTATAACAAACGTCAAAAGTTTGTGAAACTCCATACAAAACACCAGTTATGTTTATACTCGTAGTTACGATTAATGTAAGTTTGCAACTCAGCCTAAAGGTTTAGTTGAATCTTTTCTTGAATTTTGTGAATGTGTTAAAAGCCGACAAATATTGGCAGTCTGGACAACATGGGGAGTGCAGGCCAAATCCTCCATTTGCCTTTGGTTAACTACAGAGTTTGGTTTGGTTAACTACAGAGGGTGTGCTTCTACAGTGGAGACTAACGCCCGATTCACAAACGATGCTTGCTTAAGTGAAGCAGCAAATCGAACGCACAGCGTTGAATAGAGCTCTGTGATTGTTTTGAGTGACCTTGTGCGTCCACGCGCACTGTGAGACCTAGTAGTAATGTTTGTGAATTTTTGAAGCATAATTATAGTATTCTTGAAGAATTCTTGAAAAATGTAATCAAATCAGGATCTAACCTGAATGCTTCAAGAATTTGAATTAAAATACCAGCTATCTTTAGTACTGTTTTCCCAACGTTACGTTAACGCTACGCTTACGTTGACAGAATACAAGTGAAACCGCACGAGTCTCCAAGCACATCATCCCCATCATCTGGTGAAGAAGCCGACGCGTCTTTAGACGAAGGAGCCGAGCACACGGAAGAGCAGAGGCCTCCATCACTGATCGATCTGTTGGGGTGAGATACTTATTATCTTTCCGTCTTTTGTCACCTTTTTTATACCTGCCTCATATCTTCTTACCTTTTTTTTTTATCCACAANTAAACATATTATATTAGTAATAAGTTTCTTTAAACCATAAATGAATCTTTTGTTAAAAGTTTAATTGCGGTTAAAATATCATCCCTTTTGAAGTGCTTAAACCACATAAACTTTGTTTAGCATCTTATACAGGGTGTTTGGCGCATCGTGTGCCAAAATTATTTGGCGTATAGAATGGGTCATTTCCTATATTTTCAGCCCCCATAACACGTTCCATGCCAGGCGGCTACTTTTATATTAATTTTTTNTTACTACTTAGCCCTTAAATTTTTGATTAGCGACGTTACATATTCCCTCTTTTATTCGAAAAGGAAAATAGAGTACGAGTATATCCTATCAAACATTAAAAATATACATTAAGCTTCGATCACGGTTTCTCCAGTTTTTAGCTTTTAACAAGTCATGTCAACACATTATTGAACATACATCTACACTTATTGTAAAATAAAGTGAAAAAGAAACACCAGCGGTGGTCTCAACTAAAATCCGAAAGAATTTGGTGGGATATTAATTTTAATTTTGTGAATAATCCAGGTCCATCACGACACCTGCCAGCGTTGCCGCCGGCCGATGACACTGGACAGATGCAAGTGCAGGCCTTCGGTTTGGATATCACTAAAGAGGACAATGGCCAGTGAGTATTTGGTACACTCGCTTACACCTGGGCAAACACAATATCCTAAGCCCACAAGATGTAAAACATATCGCCCCCCAAAAGATACTGCACTCACTACCTAATTGATGTAGGACTCGGAGGCGAACTGTAAGGCCCAGAACAGACGGTGAAACGCAACTGCAACGAAACTGCAACTTTGTGATGATTCTGATGAATGAAACTGAAACTGAAAGTTTCAAACTGGTCGCGTCATGTGTGGGCTCTCAACGGACGCTATGGCAGTAACTTAGATGCAACTTAAAAGTAACTAGCAGTTGCAGTTTCGTTGCAGTTGCATTTCACCGTCTGTTCTGGGCCTAAGGAAAACAGCGACAATAGATCGGTACCGGTCGTAGTAATATGAGACTTCATAGATCGAACCAGAATAGCTGCTCAACACAAAGATAAGTATTTGGTACTCTAAGTAAGAATTCTGGAAGTATACATATTATTACAGTCATTGAAGTGTGATGACAATGATTTTATATTTAAGTATGTATTATGTACGATGTAAGGTATTCGTAGACACTGGACAAGGGATATACTATACTTATACTTAACTTACTTTATGTATAACAAACGTCAAAAGTTTGTGAAACTCCATACAAAACACCAGTTATGTTTATACTCGTAGTTACGATTAATGTAAGTTTGCAACTCAGCCTAAAGGTTTAGTTGAATCTTTTCTTGAATTTTGTGAATGTGTTAAAAGCCGACAAATATTGGCAGTCTGGACAACATGGGGAGTGCAGGCCAAATCCTCCATTTGCCTTTGGTTAACTACAGAGTTTGGTTTGGTTAACTACAGAGGGTGTGCTTCTACAGTGGAGACTAACGCCCGATTCACAAACGATGCTTGCTTAAGTGAAGCAGCAAATCGAACGCACAGCGTTGAATAGAGCTCTGTGATTGTTTTGAGTGACCTTGTGCGTCCACGCGCACTGTGAGACCTAGTAGTAATGTTTGTGAATTTTTGAAGCATAATTATAGTATTCTTGAAGAATTCTTGAAAAATGTAATCAAATCAGGATCTAACCTGAATGCTTCAAGAATTTGAATTAAAATACCAGCTATCTTTAGTACTGTTTTCCCAACGTTACGTTAACGCTACGCTTACGTTGACAGAATACAAGTGAAACCGCACGAGTCTCCAAGCACATCATCCCCATCATCTGGTGAAGAAGCCGACGCGTCTTTAGACGAAGGAGCCGAGCACACGGAAGAGCAGAGGCCTCCATCACTGATCGATCTGTTGGGGTGAGATACTTATTATCTTTCCGTCTTTTGTCACCTTTTTTATACCTGCCTCATATCTTCTTACCTTTTTTTTTTATCCACAACGAGGAAGCTCTTGGCCTGTATCTCACCTGATGGTAAGTGACGATCAGGCCGAAGGTTGAAGCGAGCTTCACCCGGAATCCTCAACCACGGAGGAACTGGCTATCTTACCTCTAACTGCCGGAACACAACAATGCTGTTAACATTGTTGTTATGGCGACAGACTTAGGTAAGATGGTGGTAGCTAGCCAGGCGGACTTAGAACAAGCCCTACCACCAACCAAACCGAACAGAAAAATCTGCCCCCACTGGGAATCGAACCCTCGGACCTCTGCGTCTGAAGCAGGTGGTCTAACCACTAGACCACAGAGGCGGTTAAAAAACCTCCATACTGATAAAAAGTTTAGGTGCACACAGTAGCAGCAGGCGACATATCGTCACGACACTATACTGGCTTCTATATACGTATTTCTATGAAATAAAATCCATTTAATAGAATTTTATATAATTAAGAATAGAAAATAATGTGTCGCGGCGACGTCGTCTGCTATTGCTGTGCGGAGTCAGCTACGAACTTGCACCTTTACACGCATGTTGAACACTATTTTAAGATAACATTTCCGTACTAAAAGTCACTTTAAAACACTGTGTACGCGTGTGTAACTAATTTGTATTATTATGTGTGTAAAAAAGTAACGTCACATCGACGCTCTGGTACGGACGCGGGGGAGTCTGAGGGAATGTCGCATTTCTGCGTGGTGCGCAGTTAGCTGTTAGTTAATGCTTAAAAATCGTCTTTAATAATGTTGTCTTTGTGTGTACTGTACTTTTCGTGCATTGAAGTTTCGCTTGGAATAAAACATTTGGGAAATACTAAGAAGAACCGCCACAACAAACACTACTTTAAAACATACTTCTTCTTCTTCTGTCTCGATTCATCCCGTCACTGAGTCGGCTTTCCCAATCATGCGCCGCCATTTATTTCTATCTCATCTTGTTCGTGGATTCAATACTTTCATGTCCTTTTAGGGCTATATTTCACCGGGACACCATGGCGGCGCAACCAGTCGCCGGCTACCAACAAAATGTACAGCTCCAATAAGAGTTACTCACCTGGTGTCCGTTTGGTTGCGCAAAGCTGCATACATTTTGTTGGTAGCGGCGACTGGTGGCGCCGCCATGGTGTCCCGGTGAAATATAGCCCTTAGACATTCGTCAGGTGTCTCTCTTTTTTTAAAACATACTGAGAATGTTAATTTTAATTTGTTAAACAGAGGCGAGCAAGCGAAGAAGCAAGCACAAGAAAGAATGGAAGCGCAAGCAGTTCAACAGGCCGCTATGTCAGCCATAGAAGCGGAAAGCAAGAAGGTAACTTATTGCATATTTGTTGGTATACAACACGTTGAACTTTAATGTCAAAATCACTGCTGTCACAACTGCATAGTGCTACAATGTAAACGTTGAAGTGCCGTAGGCCGGACTTAAAAAAATAGATATATGATATTTTGGATACAATAAAGCTAGTAATATTGATATTTTTTGTTCATGAAGTTCCAATAAAGATAAAGATATTTAATTACATAAACATGTGTGAAAACATATTACAGAGCAACATGATTTGGTCTTACAGTTTTAACAGGTGATACAACATGTGTTACCGAGATATTGGCATGTAAATTATATGTCAAGTAAGAATGTCAATAATACATTAAAATTCATAATAACAATTCATAAAATTTGCAAAGTGTACAACACATTAATGAAAATAATCCTACTGTACGTGTAAGATGATTAGTCTCACATCACACACAAGTGTGTAATTATGTTCATACAGCGCCATCTATTGTATAAATACATGACTTAATAGTTTAGCAATATGCTTGTAAGCTTACCGTTATCATTTTCACAATGCCCAGATATTTATAGAATTTAGAAATATCTAGATTCATTGCTAATAAAGCTTTAGTTATTTTGTATTTATCATTATTTTCATGCAGCGCTCATTTACAAGGAAAAAGGTAAATTTTCATGTGTTCATCAGTACTTACGAGTAATTTCTCATTTATTTTGCACATTCTTTAGAAACTCAAGCTACAAATGTTCGTTAGATGTTATGTCGTTTTAAAAATATGCAAAATAAAACACCACTATCCACAAAAATACTATCCACTCACATTTATATGTCATCTGAAAATGGCATTATAAATTGTTCAAATTCCCTTCTTATTTTTTCTTCCATTTTTCAATTATGGTTTAGTGCGATTTGCAAGTGATAAGACTAGATATGATATTGATGACTATAATGATGATTATGATTGTAATCATGATTATGATTGTGATCATGATTATGATTATGATTGTACGCTTTGGAGCTCACGGGTCAAAAGTGGCCCGATCCTTTATAGGGCTTGCGTGGGGATACAGATCCAACACGTAGAGGCCGTTTTAAGCGACAAAACAATCGACAAAAGTGATTATGATTATGATCATGATTATGATTGTGATCATGACTATGATTGTGATTGTGATCATGATTATGGTTATGATTGTGATTATGATTGTGATTTTGATCATGATTATGATTGTGATCATGATTATGATTATGATTGTACGCTTTGGAGCTTACGGGTCAAAAGTGGCCTGGTCCATTATAAGGCTTGCGTGGGGATACAGATCCAACACGTAGAGGCCGTTTTAAGCGACAAATCAATCGACAAAAGTGATTATGATCATGATTAGAGATGAANAATGCTAAATCATATATTTCCTCCTCCATTTTCCGCAGTTTGGCACCTCACGTCACATCATTTTACCGAAGTCAGCCCTATAGCTTCGGCGCAGTGCCGATCACTGACGTTTGTCAACAAAATGGTGCTTGACTCTTGAGACAGGCTAAATTACACCTTATTGTTAATGACATTGAGCATACATTTTTTTAATTACCTTCGCGAAGTAAAACTTCTGTACGTAGTACATATTATTATTCTGTGGTAGTATTGGTATTTTTGTTCCAATAATTTTTGCAAAGTGTACAACACAATAATGAAAATAATCCTACTGTACATGTAAGATGATTAATCTCACATCACACACACGTGTGTAATTATGTTCATACAGCGCCATCTATTGTATAAATACATGACTTAATAGTTTAGCAATATGCTTGTAAGCTTACCGTTATCATTTTCACAATGCCCAGATAGATTTATAGAGTTTAGAAATATCTATAGATTCATTGCTAATAAAGCTTTAGTCATTTGGTATTTTATCATATTTTCATGCAGCGGTCATTTACAAGGAAAAAGGTAAATTTTCATGCCAATCAGTACTTACGAGTAATTTCTCATTTATTTTGCACATTCTTTAGAAACTCAAGCTACAAATGTTCGTTAGATGTTATATCGTTTTAAAAATATGCAAAATATAACACCACTATCCACAAAAATACTATTCACGCACATTTATATCTGATCTGAAAATGGCAATATAAATTGTTCAAATGTAAACATGTATTATTACTATTTTTTCTTCCATTTTTAAATTATGGTTTAGTGCGATTTGCAAGTGATATGACTAGAGATGATATTGATGACTATAATGATGATTATGATTGTGATCATGATCATGATTATGATTGTACGCTTTGGAGCTTACGGGTCAAAAGTGGCCTGGTCCATTATAAGGCTTGCGTGGGGATACAGATCCAACACGTAGAGGCCGTTTTAAGCGACAAAACAATCGACAAAAGTGATTATGATTATGATTATGATTGTGATCATGATCGTGATTATGATTGTGATCATGACTATGATTGTGATTGTGATTATGATTATATTTCAGGCCGTGCAAGTGCCCGCGCCGTCTGCTCTCGCGCAAGTGGACTTATCCCAGTACACGCGGCGCGCGGTCTCTTTCTTAGCCCGAAACTTCTACAACCTGAAGTATGTGGCGCTGGTGTTGGCTTTCTGCATCAACTTCGTGTTGCTGTTCTATAAGGTGAGCTGGTAGCTAAGTGGAGGATCTAAATTGAAAACGAAATAGAAACTTACATTGAACATTAGAACCATTACTTGTCCGATAGGTTTAGTTTAGGTTTAGGTTAGTAGGTCCTTGGTATAATAATATTTTGACTTTCATAAGTGCCACTTGTGGTCTAAACTGAATAAATACTTTTGATTTTGATTTTTGATTGGTAAAATGCAAACTGAAGGCAATTGGTCCGAAGGTTTCGTTGTCAATTAGCGATTTGAGGGTTATCGCTATCCATGTCGAAAAAGCTCCTTATGAAAAAATTTCATAAATAGAAAAAGCAATATTTTGCTACTTTAACTGTCAAAAAAACAAGCCGTGTTGTAAAATGGGTTGAACCGGGGTTTAGAGGATGTGATATTTAGCTTAGCGACATCATAAAGGTAGCAGGGAAGCGCTGGACGCAAGCCGCTACCAATCGATCAACATGGAAAATTGGAAAACATTGGGGGAGGCCTATGTTCAGCAGTGGACGTCCTATGGCTGAAATGATGATGATGATATTTAGCTAGCGGGAATATTCCTCATTTGTATTTGTAGCCTTGAAAAAAGGCTTAATCTTTTTTTAAATTATGTCCTATTAATGATTATTTTGATAAAGAAAACTGTAAATTCCAGAGATTTTAACTTTAAAATGGCAAGTTTGATGGCCATTGTCAGGCTTAAGTAAAGTTTGAATTTAATACTTAATATAATTTCAGGTGTCAGCTTTGGACTCTGAGGAAGGCGAAGGATCTGGACTTGGCGACATCATCGGAGGTTCTGGCTCTGGGCAAGGCTCGGGCAGTGGAGATGGTAAGTATAGCACATAAGAATACAGATTGTTTTTGCAAGACAGAGTTTATTACAACTGGATACAACTAGCTACAGTGTGATTAATGTGTTGTCGCGTCTTCACTTTTGTTGGGAACCGATAGGTGGACCAATCTTCTTTTATAATTGTCTGTTTTTTATCCTTTTGATATTATTTTGTTTTGAGTTTTATTTTTATTTAGAGCATTTTTTCGGGAAAATAATGTTTCTTGATCTTGAGCGAGAATTCAATTTTCAATTAATTCAATAAATTAAAAATACTAAAACACTACATATTTTTTTTGTCATCCTAATTTCGTATTTAATAAAAACTTTTTATTATGTTTTTAAACAATCTGTCAAACTCGATACAAAAAAAAACAGGTTATCGTTATAGTATCGACTAAAGTTAGGTGGTGCAACTCAGCCTTAGTGATGTTTTTGTTAATAAAATAATCTTTAAACCTTTATTCATATGTAAATAACGTATACCTTCATTTTTACAGGAGGCAGCGGCGAATCGGGCGAGGACGAAGATGCATTGGAAGTGGTGCACATAGACGAGGACTTCTTCTACATGGTGCACGTCATCAATATGGCCGCCGTGCTGCACTCTATCGTGTCTCTGGCCATACTTATCGGGTACTACCATCTTAAGGTGAGATCACATTCTTAGAAGAGTAAACCCTTCATTTCTTTAAAGGACTATGACCAAAAATGTATGGAGTGTGGTCCAAATGTCCACCACTAACGAGACCTACCTAGTAAAATAGTCTACTAAATACTGATTCATTATAACCAAACCGCAATCAAAAATATGCTGTCAGTAAAAAGTTATGAGTGAATGAAAAGTCATGTTTTTTACCTTTTCATCCGAAAAATGTTCTTGATATCATTCTATCCATCGCACATTTTGGATTAATCTATGCATGTTATGTCATGTCGCTTAGTGTGTCGTGTTAGATTCTCGCTAAAAGAAAAAAAATTAGCTCAGAAGAAAGACATCAATATTGGAATTATGGTCGGGTGGTCGCTGCTCCGCCCCTATTGGTTGTAGGGTGATGTTATATAACCTAAAACCATCCTTGATAAATGGGCTATCAATAACAGAAATAATTTTTCAAATCGGACTAGTAGTTCCTGAGATTAGCGCGTAAACTACTACAATTTTTCATACGGTCATAACTTTTTACTGACAGCTTATTTTTTTTTCGTCCCATACTGAAAGTTAATCTCTATTAAATGGAATATAAGCCAATATAGGTCTTATTAGTGGTAGACATTTGGACCACTTTTGGTCATTGTCCTTTTTATCTGTATCCCGCAGCGCAACGGTTGTCGAAATCATATTTTCAAACTGCTATATTTTTCTGACTCAATTCGTTGCGGATTAATCTTGTGCCAACTTTAATGCGATATTAGTGAGAAAATGCCTACCTATACGAAGTTTTTACGGTTTCTGAACTGATATTTTTAGCTTGAGCAAGTTTCCAATGTTCATACTCAAGTCAGAAACCGGACCATAGTCAACCATTAAAGTTTTTGTAATTATGAAATACCGTTGTATATCTATTTATCTATATCTATCTATAATATTATAAATGCGAAAGTCTGGATGTCTGGATGTTTGTTACTCTTTCACGCAAAAACTACTGAACGAATTTTGATGAAACTTTACAGTATTATTGTTCATAACCCAGAATAACATATGGGCTATAATTTAGAACGATCTGTGAAAAACTAAATTTCACGCGGGTGAAGCCGCGGGCAAAAGCTAGTTTATCTATAAATCAACATGTTGAATTCCAGGTGCCTCTAGCCATCTTCAAACGTGAAAAGGAGATCGCTCGTAAACTAGAGTTCGACGGCCTCTACATCGCGGAACAACCGGAAGACGATGACCTGAAAAGCCACTGGGACAGGCTCGTCATATCTGCCAAGTAAGCGCCTTCTTCTACTTCATATTGTTAGTTCTTGTCATATCGACAACAAACCTACACAGTGTCAGACCAAAACTCTGCTATAAGAGTGGCGTTGTCAGCAGCATTCATTAAATCTTCCTGCGTGCAGTTGTTTGTAAGTGCCTGATAGACATAAAAAGTATTAATATTCTATCCATAAACCATTTTGACCTTATTCCATAGGCTTATTAGCATGCTTAAAACAAACGTTTTCGAACAACTTGAAATAAGTATGATTATTTTTTTAGTAGTAGCATCAATAGTGGCATGCTTTCGTTCTAGTAAGGAGCATGTGTAGGTATCTGTAGGTACTTTAATGCTAAAAAATACTAAATCGCTTTAGATATGTGAAAATCACACCATGTTACTATTTTTATTTTCCTTCCAGATCCTTCCCCGTGAACTACTGGGACAAATTCGTGAAGAAGAAAGTTCGCGCCAAGTACTCGGAAACTTACGACTTTGATTCCATCTCCAACATGCTTGGCATGGAGAAGACATCTTTCTCCGCCCAGGAGGAAGAAGGCAGCAAGGGATTGATCCACTAGTGAGTATCATTATCACCTCAGCCACAGGGCGTCCACTGTTGAACTTAGGTTACAATGATTTCCAGAACCGGTTGCTAGCGAAAGACTTCAGCTATGGACAAAGGTAGGCCTCAAGGTTCTGCGCTGCTCGCATCCAGGCACCTCCCGCAACCTTCAATCGTCGGTCCACCAAGTCTACACTACGTCTTCCGGTCTGTAGTCCAGAAAACTTTTCTGTCCTAACGGCCTTCTGTTCAACGAACGAACAACAACGAATTTCTTGTAAAATTAAAAATTGACATTGTGAGCACTTCAAATTGATCTGTAAGCTAATAATCTGCAAGCTTGTAAAATTAGTAAATAAATAAATAAAGATGGACAGATGACATCCGGCAATATAGTCCAGTCAATAAAGCATTATAGATGGAAAACTGTAGAACACTATTTCTGACTTCAGGACTTTATTTAGACTAGTTAGGAGGTGAACATAGCAAAAGTCCCCGCCCTTAGCCCTTGAGCCGGCGGGGAGAGGGGGGTTTAAAGGTGCCACTTTTCGGTTTTTCGCTTAATCCTCGGAAACTATGCGTCCTAGTGACATGACTACTTTGAACCAAAAAAAGCATATTCAATTTGCTACAGATGAGATGGACAAGTTTTTCTATAAATTGTATAGTTTTCGCGGAATCTGCTCTAGAAGGTCTGTAATATTGGAAATTTTATTTTTGTCTTACATGTTCCCATCAGGAGAAAATCGACTAAATCAACATTGAGCAATCATTCTAGACATGCGGGAGCATGTTAAGCCTAGTTCCAGCGAAGGGACTACACCGTGCGTATATTTAGACGAATCACTTTGAGCCACTTTTGAATCCTCGTCACTCAAAAACTACTGGGCATTAACACTTCAAATTTGGCTCATGTGTTGAGACTTACAAGATATACATCAGTTTCAAATTTCATAAATATACCTCAAACGGTTCTTTAGATATTGACGTCCAAAAATCTACATGTCTGACCTATAGACCAAATTCTAACCACTTCCAGATGACCTCGAAGGTTCAAATTTGGCATCCAGAAAGGTAGTTATGTAAATACAAAGGAACAAATAAAAAACCAGTAAATTTTAACATTTCACATGTGATAGATAGATAGTAGTGCTCTAAATATCGATTTTTGAACGTCAATACCTAAATAACCGTTTGAGGTATATTTATGAAATTTGAAGCTGATGTACATCTTGCAAGTATCAATAGATGAGCCAAATTTGAAGTGTTAATGCACAGTAGTTTTTGAATGATGAGCAGTCAAAAGTAGCTCTAATTGGTTCGTCTAAATATACGCACGGTGCAGTCCCCTCCATGTAACTAGGCTTAACATGCTCCCGCATGTCTATAGTGTTTGCTCAATGTTGATTTAGTCGATTTTCTCCTGAAAGGAACATGTAAGACAACAATAAAATTTCCAATTTTACAGACCTTCTAGAGCAGATGCCGCAAAAACTATACAAGATATAGAAAAAATTGACGGTCTCACCTGTAGCAAATTGAATAAGCTTTTTTTGGTTCATAGTAGTCATGCCACTAGGACGCATAGTTTCCGAGGATTAAGCGAAAAACCGAAAAGTGGTACCTTTAAACCCCCCTCTTCCCGCCGGCTCAAGGGCTAAGGGCTTAGACTTTTGCTATGTTCACCTCCTAACTAGGCTAAATAAAGTCCCGAGGTCAGAAATTGTGTTCCACGGATTTCTCTCTACACCGTCGTTAAGGCATTCATTGACTGGACTAATAGGCGAACGGAATGCAAGTGGCCGGGGACAAAAGTCGGTGGAAGGCTTGAAAATGGTTTATTCGTCCAAATAAACCATTTTTACTCTAGTAACCATTATTATTATAGTGGAAGGTTGAAGAGGAGGCTTATGTTCAAAGACGAACCCCAAAGGATGGATAGATTAAAACTAGAGATTTTCCCGAAGCATTGGTAGATAAATGGTGAGATGATACAAAAAATATATAGTACTAGCGACCGCCCGCGACTTCATACGCGTGGGTCCCGTTTCGTAAAATCCGCTCTTAGTGAGCACCTACGTTCTAAAAGGAACCCCCATGCAAAATTTGAGACTCGTAGCTTTGTAGTTTCTGAGATTTCGTGATGAGTGAGTCAGTCAATCAGTGACCTTTCGCTTTTATAAATAGATTATCACATGAATAAGTGTATTGGCAGAAGATAAGTAATTCCTATGACTTTTCCAGCATAATGAACATCGACTGGCGCTACCAAGTGTGGAAAGCCGGCGTGACAATCACCGACAATTCGTTCCTGTATTCTCTATGGTACTTCTCTTTCTCCGTGATGGGCAACTTCAACAACTTCTTCTTTGCTGCGCATCTGTTAGACGTGGCGGTAGGGTTTAAGACCCTGAGGACCATCTTGCAGTCTGTCACGCATAACGGGAAACAGGTATGGGATTATTTAGAAATAAAGAAATAATAATAATAATAAATAATCTTTATTTGAAACCTTTATTAGAGTATTTCTCAAAAAAAATGTACGTAACGAAACGGTAGTAACGAAATAGTAAGGCCATAAGGCTTGTTATACATTGGCGAAATATTGTGAATGCTCTTCATTTATTCAATTCGAAATATTTGTAAGTATGCACCAAAATACGGGGTTATATTAAGGGGTTAGAAATAAAATAAGGGAGTAATCATTCATACTATTTTAATAAAATTATTTTTGTTCCATCATGTTTATCCATTTTGAGTCGTTCTCTGTAAGCTTTTTGCCTTTCGGCATTGGTTTTTGGCGGCATTCCTAAAAAAACAAAAGAAGTAATCACATAAAAACGTAATCTAAATGATTTGATAATTTTTTGCTGGTGGCACTTCTGTAAAGCAGATAGTATCCAATCCTTTTGTTATTAACGCTCTATATTTTTTGAAATTAATTAAGTAGTGAATATTACTATGCTTAGTCAGGTAATAACAGTATACACTCAGCATTATGTTGTACTTTTTCGTAACGTAACGAAATTCGCAAAAAACGTAACGAAATATTAGACAAAATGAGATCAGAAACAAGTATTTTTTTGATAAAATTTGTTACAGCAAATATAAAAGCTTACTAAATGTTCGTACCACACGTATTACAAAAAATGGTTAAATGAAGACTTACCGTTCTATATAAAATCGCTGATTTTACTGCCTGTTACGAAAAAGTAATCCCACAAAACACACACGTTTTCACTAATTTTCGCGATAGATGTTATGGCGGAGACGTCAGGCCAACAGCCATTCAGAGTGCAGCTATTGTTGTCCGTGTAAAATAAATACGGAATTGTTCAGAAACCATGGGAAAGTAGAAATAAATCGTAACTAAAGAGTAAATAACGAAATAGTAAATGAGAGCGACTCATTTTGTTTTTTTGCTTTAAATTGCCAATTCATTATGACACCCCATAGAAAATCAATTTGATACAGAAACTGCGATTACTGTAGAACGATAATATAAAGAAATTTACAATAATTTAGTTACGTATCGCATTTTATGAAACAAAAACACATGAAAAAGGTAGGGTGGCAAACAGGTTTTTGTATGAAAGGACTATTTTTAAAATATCTAAATATTTGGTAATAAGTAGGATTATAGTTATAATTCTTCGTTACCTTAAAGATTAATATTCATCCTTCAAAATTGTGTGTGTGGTTTTTTGTGTGATGATTTATAAATATAAAACTTTTGAACTGTTTCAAAGCACACTTTTTTTTTTCAAAATGTACATTTTTTTTGAGAAGTACTCATTAAAATGTTTATTTACTGGTCGCGCAGCGAAAGTTGAGGCGAATAAGTACTCACGCTGAATTTATTTGACTTATAAACAAAATGACGATCGCTAACGGTTAGCTCTGTCATCACTGCTAAAAAATTAATGTAGCACGTCACTATTGAAGTTAGACAAACGTGTCCTCTTTGAAAACAGCCGAAAGCTTTCGGCAGTTGCCGTAACGATCGCCATTTTGTTTTTAAGCGCTTACAATTTCTATTTTCCGCTGAAGGCACCCATTATTGAAGAACTAGCTACCTCGCTCTCGCTAAATATATGTAAGCGAGACAGAAAACACTCAGTGTGAATACGCAAGACGACAGTGCTACGAGCGTATGCAGATATTGGACAACACTGAAGTGTACCAGATATGATATTGAAAGGAGGACGTTACTGTCAATACTGGGTTATTAGTTCCGATTTTAGCCACTTGACATTTAGTCGTTAGATTGCTTTTCTTGATCACCATAACTCTCGTTGCGCAAGGGTGGAAACGACAAGTGATCCTGACTGAATTATTTCAAAACTATACAAGATATCGAAAATTTATTACTGATCCTGAAGGTTCTTCGTGAGCTCTATCAAACGGTATCAATTAGGTCCATACATGGAGGACGTCAATTCGAACAAAATTATCGTTCCCACCCTGTACCCACCTCTTCTTCTAACTGTAACAAACAAAATGCGCAACCACTAAATAAACATTGCATCTTCTAATTGTAACAAACTACTACCTTCTTCTTCCCCAGCTGGTACTGACGGTGATGCTGCTGACGATCATAGTATACATCTACACGGTGATCGCCTTCAACTTCTTCCGCAAGTTCTACGTTCAAGAGGAAGATGACGAGGTCAACAAGAACTGCCATGACATGCTCACGGTAAGTCAGAATGACGCCTTGTTGAAACATTTTTTAAAGATTTAAAATTAAAAGTCTGGTCGCCGAGCACGTAGAATTTCGTCCAATGACCCCAAGCTACCTTTCCTTATCGCTCGCGCGTAATTATATTGCTGTCGCGACTGTGCAACGGGCGGCAGCAGTGAGTGTGCGAGCGCGACAGCAATATTATAATAACGCGCGAGCGATAAGGATAGGTAGCTTGGGGTCATTGGACGAAATTTTACGTACTCGGCGACCGAACTATAGACATCTAATGACATGTGGCCTTGAACTGAGATACTGCTCGCTAAGGTTGTGATTGATTGCTATAGTGACCTCATTTATAGTCGACTAGCGGCTGCTCGCGACTTCGTACGCGTGGACCCCGTTTTACCCCCTCAGGGGTTGAATTTTTCCAAATCCCATCTTAGTGAGCACCTTCGTTCTAAAAGGAACCCCCATGCAAAATTTGAGAGTCCTAGTACTTGTAGTTTCTGAGATTTCGTGATAAGTGAGTGAGTCGAGTCAATCAGTGACCATTCGCTTTTATAAATATAGATTGACTAGAGAAAAATCGATTTGTATTCATCATATTTTTTTCAGTTAATGTCATATAGGCCAGTAGAATTAGCTTTTAAATCGGAAATAATTCCTACAAAAAAATTTATTGCTTTAATGGCTTCTTTGGTTGCCCATTAAGACTCTCCTAGGTTTTCGACTTCGACGGAGTTGTGCTTAAGTGGTGGGGGCCCCCGAAAGGGGCGCTTTTTAGGTTTTCCGGTTATACCGCGTAAAGGACTTACCCTATCGAAAAGTGGTCTTCCTGACGGTTGAAGGGCATTTAATCCTGCATTAAATAAGACCAAATTCATATGTTTTGAACAAACCGTTCTCGTGCAAATGTTCGTCAAAGTAGAAAATATGTGTATAATTAATGACCCTCTCCACGTCCAATAGCTCGTCACCCGTAGGCTCCCAAGCCTTGTAAAGGGTCGCCTTAACCAGCGTATCCCTGTCAAGGCTCACAAGTTGGATTCGCGTATCCTTGTTCGTCCCAGCCGTTCCTTAACTGCAGTTGCTGCACCTCTTCCTGGCACTCTCCTGAACGACTGTGTGTTACCTAATGTGGCTGCCCCTCTTCCTTGTACCCTCCTGTACGATTGCATTGCTTAGCCATATGCCTGGTCCAAGGTTCGATGCCACAAAATCAACTTCGTACGCATGAAAATAGTTTAAATACTATTTTCCGTGCTTGCAACATTTTTCTTTACTGCTTCGCCTCTATTAGTCGTAGAGTGATTGTATATATCATATAGCCTTCCTCAATTTATGAGCCATTCAACACAACAATATTTTTTCAATCAAATTCGTAATTCTTCTAGTAGTAATTCATTAGTAATTCTTGATATTAGCGCGTTCAAACAAACAAACAAAAAACTCTTCAGCGTTTTAATATGAACTTGTTGTTGTTGATTTTTGGCATCGAACCTTAGACCAGGCATACGGCTAGGCAACGTAGTCGTGCAGGAGGATACAAGGAAGACGGGGAGCCACAGTAGGTAACACAGAATCGTTCAGGTGAGTGCCAGAAAGAGGTGCAGCAACCGCAGTTAAGGAACGGCTGGGACGAACAAGGATAGGCGCATCCAGCTCGTAAGCCTTGATAGGGTTACACTGGTTGAGGCGCTCCTTTTCAAGACTTGGAAGCCTGCAGGTAACAAGCCAGTGGACGTGGAGAGGGTCATTAATTATACACATATTTTCTACTTTGCCGAACATTTGCATGAAAACGGTTTGTTCAAAACATATGAATTTGGTCTTATTTAATGCAGGATTAAATTCCCTTCAACCGTCAGGTAGACCACTTTTCGATAGGGTAAGTCCTTTACGCGGTATAAACGGAAAACCGAAAAAGCGCCCCTTTCGGGGGCCCCCACCACTTAAGCACAACTCCGTCGAAGTCGAAAACCTAGGAGAGTCTTTATGGGCAACTAATGAAGCCATTAAAGTACTAAAACCTTTTGTAGGAATTATTTCCGATTTGATTGATTTTCATGTCTTATTCTACTTGATATTGATCGATAATTCGGTTTCCCCGCAGTGCTTCGTGTTCAACTTATACAAAGGCGTGCGCGCCGGCGGCGGCATCGGCGACGAGCTCGAGCCGCCGGACGGAGACGACTCGGAAGTCTACCGCATCATCTTTGACATATCCTTCTTCTTCTTCATCATCGTCATCCTGCTGGCCATCTTGCAGGGTGAGTGGATAAGGACATATTTCATCACTTTATTCCAGATTAGCAAGCTGAAGCAGGCCTGTTCATCTCCGCGAGTTTACATCGAAAACAAAACACGCACGATGGCCCACCTACAGGATACTATTCGACAAGGCCTCACATACGAGCGAACATTGACTCGCGTATTCTTGTGTATGATGGAAGAAAATAAAGAAAATGGCGTACTAAATACTGTGCAGTATTTAACTGCCTAAATAATAATAAAAACACAGAATGCACTTTTTTAAGTTGCCTCAAGACACTGAGAGGTAAATAAGTAGTTAATATTATTCATGATAATTCATGCTAAATCATGTATTTCCTCCGCCATTTTCCGCAGTTTGGCACCTCACGTCACATCATTTTACCGAAGTCAGCCCTATAGCTTCGGCGCAGTGCCGGTCACTGACGTTTGTCAACAAAATGGTGCTTGACTCTTGAGACAGGCTAAATTACACCATATTGTTAATGACATTGAGCATACATTTTTTTAAATACCTTCGCGAAGTAAAACTTCTGTACGTAGTACTTATTATTATTCTGTGGCTGAAGTGCCAATGGGCAGGACACATAGTACGTAGAACTGACGCCCGATGGGGCAGCAAGGTTCTAGAGTGGAGGCCACGTACCGGAAAACGCAGTGTGGGACGTCTACCCACAAGATGAACTGACATCATAAAAGTAGCAGGAAGGCGCTGGACACAGGTCGNGCAGGTCGCTACCAATCGATCAACATGGAAAACATTGGGGGAGTCCTATGTTCAGCATTGGACGTCATATGGCTGAAATGATGATCCCAGTTTTTTCAACCTCGCGACCGCCAGGGGAGTCACTAAGCCTCTATAAGGGGGTCGCGAGAGGTCCTAAAAACTACCTCGTGTTCGGTCTCTGAAACATCTTTGTAACATTATAATTTGATATACCCTTCTTCTTCTTCGTTATCGTTATCCTGCTGTCCATCTTGCAGGGTGAGTGGACAAGGAACCAAATTATTTCAATAGCCCGTTGTCCTAGGTGAGCGACATGAAGCGACGCGACGTAATGCTATCATTTTAAGATAGGGCAGAGCGGTTATGTTATTACCACTATCGCAAGTAGCAAAAATAGGTAGTAAATTACTAAATTGTTTGTAGGGGGATCTTTATTTGTTAACTAACGACGGCGGTGTTTCGTAAAGTGTTTAGATATTTTCGTTTGTGTTATCCCGAACCTCGGTAATGTAAACCTTTTTTATTTTTGTGTTATGTGTTTGTTATTAAGTGGGTAATATTTTCATAATGTAAGTTTAGAACATCTATGGATGTGACGAAAGAGTGGATTCCTCTCAATACAGGTTACTTAAACTTAAAGAGAGGAATTCCTCAACTACTTGTAACAGTCGTACTAAGTGTCAATAAAATATTTTTCATTCATTTAACGACTGCCAGTAAATTACTTCCGAAAGAAGTATTAAATGATTCCTTCGTTGCTTTTTAACATCTTGTAACACTAGCCAAAAACGTCGTTTATAAGACCTCTGAAATGCAAAGTAAATAAAATACCTACTTTTACTATGAAACTCCTCACTATATTCTCTATAACTCCTCCTAAAAATCCTCACAAAATTTTATCAACATTGTTAACCTGTGTTACTTAAGGCTGCCGCGACACAAGCACAGCTTAGTGCAGCAGCCGCTAGATAAACAGACTGTAAATTTTTTGCTGGCAAATAAAATACTTTTACTTTACTTTATTTAGAACCTCCCTTTGTAATCCAAATGACATCCCACAACACTATCCGGCTCGAAGGACCACACTAACTTATTCCCGTTGCAGGTTTGATCATCGACGCGTTCGGAGAACTCCGTGATCAGCTGGAGTCCGTCAAGGAGGACATGGAGTCCAACTGCTTCATATGTGGCATCAATAAAGACTACTTTGATAAAGTAAGTTACTCCTTCCTTTTCCATTCAATGACGGCTGTGCCGGTATGCACAATTAATCTCTTCATATCTTATCGTGATCACGTTCACAGTGTCAGCACATTTATCACGTTAGTGTTGATGCTGTGACGTCATTTACCTTTAGTCTATATCGTATAAATAGTCACGCAGTTCGCATTAATAAACAGACTAATAACAGATACTAATACCAAATGTTGTCTCATTCATACGGTCTCCCAACATGGCACAAATTGGTGACCCCGACGAAGATGGCACAACGGCTATTACAGGATGTAATCGATAAGTGATCTCACTCGATGTATACAGAATAAACTGGAACTACCCGAAAATTCAATGTTTCCAGCTTCCACACATTTAAAGTGTTTACACCTGGATTTGGTCACCCAGGTGATCAAAGTGGACTCCAAGCGACACTTTGAAAGAAAGAAAGAAAGAAAAAAATATTTATTTGGTATCAAAGATATTACAATACAGATCAACACAACTTGGGTGTCCTTTAATCCTTCAAGCTCCGCGAATCTAGACACAATAGATAATCAATTGTTATGACATTAATTAACCGATTGAGTCCCAGGACGGCATTAATTAATGTCATAACAATTGATTATCTATGGTTAATTAATGTCATAACAATTGATTATCTATTGTGTCTAGATTCGCGGAGCTTGAAGGATTAATGCCCGTGTGGGACTCAATCGGTTAATCACCTACGGATAAAAAGTCCACTTTGATCATCCATGGGTGATCAAAGGACACCAAAATGCCGCCTGGGGTCATTTAAACTATGTTGCGCCATGCGATTTTTATTATTACAAATTATATTGAATTAATCAAAGACACGGGTCTTTCTATGTATTTCAGTTTGAAATTGAACGCGAAAGTTTAAAAATCTTATTATAACGAATTACTTATTTTCTTTTAGGTTCCACACGGGTTCGACACGCACGTGCAACGAGAGCATAATTTAGCGAATTACATGTTCTTCCTCATGCATCTCATCAACAAACCAGACACGGAGTATACAGGTAAATTATATACACGTTTTGTAGTAAAAACTTTTATTATGAACCCATATAGCGAGAAAAAATGTCCACAAAAATGTTGATAGCAATTTTTAATCCAACATTTTAAAACATCCAATCAGCTTTTTGATACTTATAGGGGATTTTAAGCTCTTGGCCTGCATCTCACTGTAGAAACGCCCCTCCTGTGCCCTGAGCACGAATGACTCTCGTGATCTGAGGGCTTGTTTCCATGGTCATATAACGTTTTTTGCAGGATCACGTTTAGTAGTATACGTGTTATAATATGAACGTTTACACAAACATCCCGTTTGCAGTGCCCCGCAAAACACCGATCAGTTCTAAAATTAGTAATTCACGTTTCATAAATTAAAAACATTATGTGTTCCCATGACAGTCCAATTTTGCGGGATCGATCCCTTACTTGTATGATTCCCATCTGGGATTCGAAACCAGAACCTTGATCAAACGTGTATATTACTTGCAGGTCAAGAAACGTACGTGTGGAATATGTACACGCAACGATGCTGGGACTTCTTCCCCGTGGGAGACTGTTTCAGGAAGCAGTATGAAGACGTCATGGGAGAATAATTCAACAGTATATCATGAGTAAAATATACACCCGACTGTGTATAATATACAGCGCGTGCAAAAATACATATGACATACATACAGTATGTATACAGTGTGTAAAATATACACACGATTTACATACAGTATGTATACAGCGCGTGTAACTTAAAAACTTGTGACTTATAACAATTCAAAACTTTGAAATTATCAAATCAAATTGCTAAAAATATAGTCGGGGTAATAATTGTCGCTGAAAAAAATTTTGCTCAAATATAACACCAAATTGTGAATGTAAAAATGTGTATGTTACTTTGATTGGAATTTGAAAAGCGACTTGAATTTAATGACAAATGTACGAGTATAGTATGAGTAATACAAACTCTATCATAATATATTATGTATGTTCTTTGTATATTAATTGAAACTCATGCCAACGTAAAGAACAAAATTAACGCATAACATATCCGTTACCACACTTAAAATAATCGCAAAGCAATAAAAATAAAATATAGACTCCCGCCTATTGAAAGAAGTAGATATATTTCAAGTTATTTACAATGTTTACGACAATTTAGTAAAAAATTAAATATAAACGAATCGAAATTAGCAAATTTTCAATATTTATTGAATAAATTAAAGTCATTGTATTTAATAATAATATGTATTTTATAGCTACATTTCACAAGAATAAACTTCTTTCTTGGTCGGGTAAATAAAAGCTTCAAGTATTTATATCAGAAATGAAATAAATAAAAAGTAAGTTTTTTCTATTGTCTTGTAACGTTAAGTATGAATTAAGGTGGCCTTTCCAAGCAAACTTTTCTATTTTAACTATTTCGATATAGTTTATGTAAGATAATATAAAATGTTAATTAAAACTATTTAATTGTATATTTGGTTTTATTTGCGCTGGCATGGGCATCACCAAGTTTCGTCATATTTTCACCTGGCAAAACCTATTCATTAAAAGCAGAAAAAGAAAACAAAATATTTAGTTTATCGAAATATATATTTTTTCAAACTGATTTTCTTATAAACAACTAGCTTTCCGCCCGCGGCTTCGCCCGCGTGGAATTTTGTATGTCACAGAAAAACTTTATCGCGCGCGTCCCTGTTTCAAAAACCGGGATAAAAACTATCCTATGTTCTTTCCCGGGACTCAAACTATCTCTATGCCAAATTTCATCAAAATCGGTTGCGAGGTTTAAGCGGGAAAGCGTAACAGACAGACAGACAGACAGACAGAGTTACTTTCGCATTTATAATATTAGTTGGGATAGTTGGGATGAAAAATACTGAAACAAAAATCCATACAACATAAAGTCAATCCTATGGAATGTGTCCAACGACATAAGATTGTGCGTATGTAAAGTTCAAGTCAGAATTCACTAACAGAAGGTTCATCTTAAATAGATATTATTATTGTTTATTTATCTGCAAAATTATAAACTGGAAGTATTCACTACTGGATCATTCCTGTATAGCCAGGATCTTCGGATTGACCGTCAAAAATAAATACGTGAAGATCAACTTTGTCCCAGAGGAATTTCACAACCATCATTGCTTCCGCAACGAAATATACCGTAAAACTATCCACCAGTGGTATCTATCACTATCCAATACTTGAAATTCTGTCCAGAAGAGAATCCATGCCTGAGCTCACGATCATAAGGATGTCTTTATCAATCGTTGTGGATAAAAAAAAACAAAATATTTAACCAAATATGGTGCCAACAGATTTATATCAACCCTAAATTAGTGAACTCTAGTCTTTAGGGACCGCCGTATTAAATAATTTCATCAGTATTTTTTACTTATAAGTCTACGCCAAAAGACTTTAGCAAAAGATATCACAAAAAGAAACTCATGTGAGAATTATTGTCGCTTAGGAATCAGTAAGATTCATGCACAATTTAAAAAAACGCATTTTGACGTGAATATTTTAGTTTGCGTGACTTCTAAAGTCTGTTGGCGTGGACTGTACAATAAAGCATAGCTCAAATTTTAAAATATCAGTCTTATAAGTAGTTAACAATCTTAATACATAAATAAGGCTTATTCCACTATTTTCCGTTGACAATCCAAGTTAAGGGGATTAGTGTTCATTATTCCCCGTTAACGCCAATTGGAGCTTATAAAAAGTTCATTAATCCCCATTACATCCTAATTGACGGGGATTATCAACGGGGAATAGTGGAATAAGCCATAAATAATGGCCGAATATTCAATCGACTTACATAACAAAATATTATGTACAAGCAGTTACAAATACAGTATTTTACATTATTATATCGTAACTTTTTTACAAAGAAGTGTTGCAGAAAATGTTTACATTAGGCTTTGATAACTTTATCACTGAATATTAGGTAATATAAAATGGTCGAAAAACAAAGTAAGTATTTAAAAATCACCAAAATATGTGTGTGTTTTGAGTTGTGCTTGTACGGGTGGCTTATCCTATAAACAACGGCACATCCAGCCAAACATTTAAGCATCTTATGATCTTGAAATAGGTGCGATTTTCGAACAAAATATAAGCCTATAAATTGGTATATTCCACTTTGATCACCTGGATGATCTAATTCAGGTGTTCAAGGTGGAATAGACCTATAAATTACACGTTAAACTTTACAAATCATTGTACTTAACAACTACCTAACTCACCGAAGGCTGCTTATGTGCCAAATACAGCGTAAATATACTCGTCAACGCACTAACTAGGAAAATAACGTCGAACCATCTATGGTAGAAGTTAAACTGTAAATCTCCTAACACCTGGGTGATGATGATCCGGTATTCTGGAGGCATATTCATCCGCATCAATAGTACTGACGAACAGAAGTACATGCCCATTATTTGGGCCAGAATAAGCACGATGATGTTCGATGATTTTGATGAGGAGATCTTGTTGAAGAACTGTGAATTTTAATTACTTATATTATATTAATTAAATATATTATTATTATACTGACTAAAGAAGTATACCTTTTTAACTTTGTTAAAAAACGAGATATCTCTTTTCAACCTTCAAAAGGTTACTCATTGGGGATGAATTTTCATCCCACACAAAAATTACACGTTGAACTATCATTTTGCCTTAGTTAACTTTATAAATAAATTCAACCCCGTTTACGGAATCCGAGAAAACTCAACCCCATATGAAATAAACCAGAGAAAATTCAACCCCGTATGAATTAAAGCCGAGAAAACTCAACCCCTTGTGAATCAAACCGGAGAAATCTTGAACCCCGTGTGAATTAAACCGGAGAAAAACGTGTGTGTGATCTCAACCCGTTTTTTAAAGTAGTAATTTCAGGGGGTTGAAATTATTCTAGTAAAGCGTATTACACAATAAGTACCTTCGTGAGGGTGAGCAGCAGCCCCCGTATGCTAGTAAGTAAAATACACCCGACGAGCGCAAAAGACAGCTGCTGCGACCAAAACGCCACGTGGATGCGGAGCCCGAGCTAGTGCACCACGAGCTCAAGCCCGCGAGTCACCGGGTCCTTCTTGCCGACGCGGTCAAACACTAACGGAGACCCCGGACACTAGCGGAGACACCGGACACTAGCGGAGACCCCGGACACTAGCGGAGACCCGGACACCAGCGGAGACCCCGGACACCCGACCCCGTAGGAGCCCCGTAGCCCCTCGACCCCGTAGCCACTTACGACCCCTTAGGAACCCCGTAGCCATTCCACCCTGTAGGGACCCCGTAAACTCGACCCCGTAGGGACCCCGTACACTCGACCCCATATGAACCCCGTACACTCGACCCCGTAGAAACCCCGTACACTCGACCCCGTAGGAGCCCCGTAGCCACTCCACCCCGTAAGAACCCCGTAGCCACTCAACCCCGTACGACGGAACGGGGTGTATTAGACACTAGGTTGAGTAAGGGGCCGTCCATATATTACGTCATTCTAAATTAGGGGGGGGGGGTTGGTCTGCGGATGACGGTAAATGATGAGCGTGAGCAACAGCTCCCGTATACTAGTAAGTAAAATACACCCGACTAGTGCAAAAGACAGCTGCTGCGACCAAAAAGCCACGTGGATGCGGAGCCCCAGCCAGTGCACCACGAGCTCAAGCCCGCGAGTAACTGGATTCTTTTTGCCGACGCGGTCGAACACTAACGGAGACCCCGGACACTGGCGGAGACCCCGGACACTAGCGGAGACTCCGGACACTAGCGGAGACCACGGACATTAGCGGAGACCACGGACACTAGCGGAGACCTCGGACACCCGACCCCGTAGGAGCCCCGTAGCCCCTCGACCCCGTAGCCACTTACGACCCCTTAGGAACCCCGTAGCCATTCCACCCTGTAGGGACCCCGTAAACTCGACCCCGTAGGGACCCCGTACACTCGACCCCATATGAACCCCGTACACTCGACCCCGTAGAAACCCCGTACACTCGACCCCGTAGGAACGCCGTATACTCGACCCCGAAGGAACCCCATAGGTACCCTCGACCCCGTAGGAACCCCGTACCCTCGACCCCGTAGGAGCCCCGTAGCCACTCCACCCCGTAAGAACCCCGTAGCCACTCAACCCCGTACGACGGAACGGGGTGTATTAGACACTGGGTTGAGTAAGGAGCCCTGTAGACCCCTCATCATGGGACATAAACTCATAAAACTTATTTATTTCTGCAAATAGGCTTTAACCCATTAACGCCCATAGTGAAACCACGATATATTTTCATAATATTTTTTATTATTGCTACTGAATGGATTACAAGTAATCTATAAACACAAAAAAATATTTAAAAAAAATTAAAAACCTTGAAAAAAAACCCTGTACACAGGTGTGTACACTGGGCGGATCAGGTGAGAAATTTCCCGAAGCAAGGTCGCTCTACGCAAAGCGTTTTCAGGCATTTAGAGCAACGCCAACGCCCCTACTATGGCAAATAACATACCTAAGAGGGTTTACAATACGGTTATGCCCTCCATTGCTTGACTGTAAATATGATGTTGACGATGATGGCTGCGTCTTCGTTTTATTATTGGGTAAATACGATCTGGCAATAGATCGCCTAAAAGCCAATTGATCCAAGTACGTTGTGTTTTTGGTTTACACGGTAAGTACATATAAGCGCCATGCATTTGAGACCGCCATATCCACTAGTTTGGGTGATTTCATGAGCAGTAGAAAAAATGGGTGATATTTTTCTCCAAGTAGGATTTTCAGCAACTTCGTTACGAGCACGTTTTTGAGTCGGACCAAGGCTTGAAAGAGTTTCTTCATCGCTATTGACCTACTCCGGCTCTTCATCTGAAGGTTGGTGGCGTAATAGCTCGATAGTACCTGGTATATCTCAAAGTACCGAGGAAGTCAAATCATCTTATGCACCTTCTTCTTCATCACTAACAACAGCAGGATCAGGTGGTACGATGATCAATTTTAGCTCCGTATCGTCATCTTCAGCTGCCATAATGGATTCGATGGCTTCCTCTAGTTTTGAAACTCGTTTTGAGATGATAAATGTTATCTATGTGACATCTTCAATCATCAACCTGGTCTTGAAAAAAATGTTTTTCTTAGTATACATTCACCCACTGTACACAAGCGTGTACACCAACATTCTTGAACAATTTTTGGTATGTTATATGTATATATTTATTATTTTTTTAGCTTATAATAATAATTTACAATGTAAACTTACCTTGAAACGTAGAATTGAATCAAATTATAGCTAAAATATATTTTATCAGTATTATTTCACAACCGGCGCCAGTTACTTTGAAAAAAGGTCGGAAAAAAATGGTAATTAGACATTTATTTTTACACCACCCTCCAACTTTTTTATATTTCTTACCTTGTATCGACATCTAGATTAGGTTTTATCAAGTAATTTGACTCAACATTAGAAGTTGCATTCAGAAATAAAGTATAAAGAAGTGTACACACGTGTGTACAGAGGGCGTTAATGGGTTAAAAAAAAGCACGTTTACATCCTTTAAGTTACCTTAGTCAGCGTGAGCAGCAGCCCCCGTATACTCGTCAGCAGAATACATCCAACCAACGCGAAGAACAGCTGCTGCGACCAGCACGCCACGTATCCCGTAGCCACTCAACCCCATAGGACACTGAACCCCGTAGGGACCCCGTACAATCAACCCCGTACACTCGACCCCGTAGGAACCCCGTACATTCGACCCCGTAGGAACCCCGTACTCACCTTGGTGAGCGTGAGCAACAGCCCCCGTATACTAGTAAGTAGAATACACCCGACGAGCGCGAAGGACAGCTGCTGCGACCAGAAAGCCACGTGGATGCGCAGCCCGAGCCAGTGCACCACGAGCTCAAGGCCGCGAGTGACTGGATCCTTCTTGCCGACGCGGTCGAACACTATGTTTATTGTTGACTGGGAAAAAAAATACAATAATGTAGTAAAGATCGTTTCATTCACGAAGACGCGCCCCACCATTCTTCCGCTAATGTTTGAGTGTTATCGGTACACGCTTTATCAATGAGTGCACACGCACACTACAATAATGCCGCTCGGATTGCTCGGTTCATACTCCCCACACCCCGCGCGACCGAGACCAAAAATTGGTGGGGCGCGTCTTCGAGGATGAAACGATGAACATAAAGAAAGAAGAATATTCGTTCCGTTCGACTATCATGGCTTAAAACGTGTATCGAGCTTTTTTATTTTATAAGGTACTAGTACAGTTGCACGAAAGACATTTGCGCGAAGCCAAGTGCGCGAAAAGCCATTTACTTGCACGGACATAGGGATTGCAATCGAATATTCGAATATTCGAATTTTCATTTCAAATTAGTATTCGAATAGTAAATTTACATGTATTCGAATATTCGAATATTATAAAAATAAATAGAAAATATAGAAAGAAGACGACTTAGTGTTTGCAAATACAGTCGGAGGCATCANGTGGGCAGGCCTCCTACTAGGTGGACCGACGATCTGGTAAAGGTCGCGGGAAGAGCCTGGATGCAGGCAGCGCAGGACCGTTCATTGTGGAAAACCTTGGGGGAGGCCTTTGTCCAGCAGTGGACGTCATTTGGCTGAAACGAACGAACGAAATTCAACCCCGTGTGAATTAAACCCCAGAAAATTTCAACCCAGTGTTAACTGATCCGGATAATCTCAACCCCGTGTAAATTAAACAGGAGAAAACACAACCCAGCATGATTTATACCGGAGAAAACTCAACCCCGTGTGAATTAAACCGGAGAAAACTCAACCCCATGTGAATCAAACCGGAAAAAACTCAACCCCGTGGGAATTAAACCAGAGAAAACTCAACCCCGTGGGAATTAAACCAGATAAAACTCAACCCCGAGCTATTTCAACCCCTAAATTACCTTAGTGAGGGTGAGCAACAGCCCCCGTATGCTAGTAAGTAAAATACACCCGACGAGCGCGAAGGACAGCTGCTGCGACCAGAACGCCACGTGGATGCGGAGCCCGAGCCAGTGCACCACGAGCTCAAGGCCGCGAGTAACTGGATTCTTTTTGCCGACGCGGTCGAACACTAACGGAGACCCCGGACACTGGCGGAGACCCCGGACACTAGCGGAGACTCCGGACACTAGCGGAGACCACGGACATTAACGGAGACTACGGACACTAGCGGAGACCTCGTACACCCGACCCCGTAGGAGCCCCGTAGCCCCTCGACCCCGTAGCCACTTACGACCCCTTAGGAACCCCGTAGCCATTCCACCCTGTAGGGACCCCGTAAACTCGACCCCGTAGGGACCCCGTACACTCGACCCCATATGAACCCCGTACACTCGACCCCGTAGAAACCCCGTACACTCGACCCCGTAGGAACGCCGTATACTCGACCCCGAAGGAACCCCATAGGTACCCTCGACCCCGTAGGAACCCCGTACCCTCGACCCCGTAGGAGCCCCGTAGCCACTCCACCCCGTAAGAACCCCGTAGCCACTCAACCCCGTACGACGGAACGGGGTGTATTAGACACTAGGTTGAGTAAGGAGCCCTGTAGACCCCTCATCATGGGACGTAAACTCATAAAACTTATTTATTTCTGCAAATAGGCTTTAAAAAAGCACGTTTACATCCTTTAAGTTACCTTAGTCAGCGTGAGCAGCAGACCTCGTATACTAGTAAGTAGAATACATCCAACCAACGCGAAAGACAGCTGCTGCGACCAGAACGCCACGTGGATGCGGAGCCCGAGCCAGTGTACCACGAGCTCAAGCCCGCGAGTGACTGGATCCTTCTTGCCAACACGGTCGAACACTATGTTTATTGTTGACTGGAAAGAAAATGGCAACATTAGGAAATTTTATTTTTATTTGAACACATGACAAATTACAATTTTCAAAAAAGATTATGATATTTTTTTATTTGACAGCTTTCCGAGATATTTTATTGAAACTACTGTGCGCTTGGTAAGCTGTTGACTGATAGATTTAAAAAAAACAATTTGGTTGAACACTTCAGAGTTCCAAGAGTTAATAAATTCGTTTCAACACCTCAAACCCATTACGAACTAGTGGTAACCAAATAAACACTAACCCAAATGTTTTTTGTTATTATGTATTAATTTTATGTATTGTTATTACAGCAAAAAAGAATTAAAAAAATTACAGCTTAAGCCAGTTATTTTAACTAAGCCATAGTTTAAATATTTTGAAGCACTTTAATTATTTTATCATTTTCATCCCCAAAAGGATCAAGTGGGTTGAATTATTTTATTTCTCTTTTAATTCCACTCATCGCTAACATGATAACCTATTTATCAGTATCACTATCAGTATCAGACTATTTTTTTGTATTTTTTTTAAATACTCACAATAAATATTGATCCTCGAGACAGTTGACAAGTATGTCTACCTCTGAAAAACGATTCGGCTAGGTAGATCAAATTTCGAGAAAAAGGTAAATCGTCGAATCCAACTCGACTGGGCAGCCGACAATAGAATAGGCCTTATAAATAAGCTTAAAGTTGCACAGCGTGCTATGGGGAGGGCTATGCTCGGTGTTTCTTTACGACATCAAATCAGAAATGAGGAGATCCTAAAGATCTCTTTCTTTCTTCTTTCTTAAACGAACTAAAGCCGCTGACATAGCCCAACGGATTAGCAAGCTGAAGTGGCAATGGGCAGATCACATAGTAAGCAGAACTGATGGCCGATGGGGCAGCAAGGTTCTGGAGTGGAGGCCACGTACTACAAAGCACAGCGTGAGACGTTCACCCACAAGGTGGACCGAGGACCACATATAGGTAGCGGGAATTTAAGGCTGGATACAGGCCGCTACCAACCGGTCATTGTGAAAGTCATTGAGAGAGGTTATGTTCAGCAGTGGACGTCCTATGGCTGAAATGATGATGATGATGAGAATTTTATAACTGTTTTAAAAACTATATTGTTAAATAGTTAAAATATTCGTTCCTAAAGCAATAAAAACATTGATATTTTAAGTGATTTTTATCTTTTTGAAAATATTCGAATATTCGAATAATATTCGAATATCACTGAAAAAATATTCGAATATTCGAAATGGAAAACTATCGAATATTTGCAATCTCTACACGGACACAAAAAATACAGTAACGCGAATGGACGCTTGCGCGAATAATCGAAAAGTGTCGTGATACAATTTTATTCCAAGAAATCGAAACTTTACTGTGCGCTTGGTAAACTAGATTGTACTTAATAAATTGGTTAAATTTTGCACTTAGGGTGTGTAAAATTAAATAAACTCATCACCCAAAAAATGTGTTTTGTTATTACAGCCTTAGCCGGTGTGGTCTTATACATATTTAAAATTTAAGCACTTTATAGATTATGGAAATTTCACCCCCAAAAGGGGTTGAAATTTTTAATTTATTTTTTAATTCCACTTTTAAGTATTTTTTTAAATACTCACAATAAATATCTTCCATATGCAGTACAGCGAGAAGAAATACCCGAGGCAGTTAAAATACTTCCCCTGGAAGGTGTGAGACCATTCGATTTTCTCACGCATTGTGCGGGCGTCGTGCGCTTCTAAGAACAACTGTCGGCTTAGTTCCTCTAGGCCGGCTATCTCTTGCCGGAGCTGGTTTATGTCTGAAATTGTAATTATTCATTTATTTTAAGGTATAGTTACAGTTTTTTTTTTAAAAACTGTAAGCNAGGAAAGTTCTCGAGTGGCGACCACGGGCTGGAAGACGTAGCGTGGGCAGGCCTCCTACTAGGTGGACCGACGATCTGGTAAAGGTCGCGGGAAGAGCCTGGATGCGGGCAGCGCAGGACCGTTCATTGTGGAAAACCTTGGGGGAGGCCTTTGTCCAGCAGTGGACGTCATTTGGCTGAAAAGAAGAAGAAAAAGATAGTTACAGTACATAAAAAACGACGGTTCATAGAAAATAAAAATACAGCTACAAATCAATACATTTGAAATAAACCAGGGGATGAAATGGGGGATGAAAACTGGTGTGTATTTTTTAAATAATATTGTATGTTCTTCATATGGAAAATATTATTATACTGAATATGCCTTTTATCGCGAATATAAATTAATCTTAAAGGGGATGAAAACTTGTGTGATAAATTAATTTTATTATAAGGNAGACTTAGGCAGTGCTGCAGTCTCTCCGGCGAGGGCGATTCCTCTGCGGCGATGCGTGAGATAGGGTGATGTTATATCTCCGAAACCGTTGACGGCTGCATTGGAAGACGCTTTCAAGCTCCCTGAATGGAAAGAATTCGGCATAAATACCTATCAATGGCAAATACATCACTCAGCTGCGGTTTGCTGACGATATTGTGGTCATGGAAGAATCGCTTGAAGACCTCGGCACAATGCTCGAAGACCTTAATCGAGTCGCCCAACAGGTAGGCCTTCGGATGAACATGGAAAAAACAAAGCTTATGTCCAACGTCCATGTTTCGGTTAGAGCTCGATCCTCGAGACAGTTGACAAGTATGTCTACCTCTGAAAAACGATTCGGCTAGGTAGATCAAATTTCGAGAAAAAGGTAAATCGTCGAATCCAACTCGACTGGGCAGCCGACAATAGAATAGGCCTTATAAATAAGCTCAAAGTTGCACAGCGTGCTATGGGGAGGGCTATGCTCGGTGTTTCTTTACGACATCAAATCAGAAATGAGGAGATCCTAAAGATCTCTTTCTTTCTTCTTTCTTAAACGAACTAAAGCCGCTGACATAGCCCAACGGATTAGCAAGCTGAAGTGGCAATGGGCAGATCACATAGTAAGCAGAACTGATGGCCGATGGGGCAGCAAGGTTCTGGAGTGGAGGCCACGTACTACAAAGCACAGCGTGAGACGTTCACCCACAAGGTGGACCGAGGACCACATATAGGTAGCGGGAATTTAAGGCTGGATACAGGCCGCTACCAACCGGTCATTGTGAAAGTCATTGAGAGAGGTTATGTTCAGCAGTGGACGTCCTATGGCTGAAATGATGATGATGATGAGAATTTTATAACTGTTTTAAAAACTATATTGTTAAATAGTTAAAATATTCGTTCCTAAAGCAATAAAAACATTGATATTTTAAGTGATTTTTATCTTTTTGAAAATATTCGAATATTCGAATAATATTCGAATATCACTGAAAAAATATTCGAATATTCGAAATGGAAAACTATCGAATATTTGCAATCTCTACACGGACACAAAAAATACAGTAACGCGAATGGACGCTTGCGCGAATAATCGAAAAGTGTCGTGATACAATTTTATTCCAAGAAATCGAAACTTTACTGTGCGCTTGGTAAACTAGATTGTACTTAATAAATTGGTTAAATTTTGCACTTAGGGTGTGTAAAATTAAATAAACTCATCACCCAAAAAATGTGTTTTGTTATTACAGCCTTAGCCGGTGTGGTCTTATACATATTTAAAATTTAAGCACTTTATAGATTATGGAAATTTCACCCCCAAAAGGGGTTGAAATTTTTAATTTATTTTTTAATTCCACTTTTAAGTATTTTTTTAAATACTCACAATAAATATCTTCCATATGCAGTACAGCGAGAAGAAATACCCGAGGCAGTTAAAATACTTCCCCTGGAAGGTGTGAGACCATTCGATTTTCTCACGCATTGTGCGGGCGTCGTGCGCTTCTAAGAACAACTGTCGGCTTAGTTCCTCTAGGCCGGCTATCTCTTGCCGGAGCTGGTTTATGTCTGAAATTGTACTTATTCATTTATTTTAAGGTATAGTTACAGTTTTGTTTTTTAAAAACTGTAAGCGTGGCAGTGGGCGGGGCACATAGCTCGTAGAGACGATGGCCGTTGGGGCAGGAAAGTTCTCGAGGGGCGACCACGGGCTGGAAGACGTAGCGTGGGCAGGCCTCCTACTAGGTGGACCGACGATCTGGTAAAGGTCGCGGGAAGAGCCTGGATGCGGGCAGCGCAGGACCGTTCATTGTGGAAAACCTTGGGGGAGGCCTTTGTCCAGCAGTGGACGTCATTTGGCTGAAAAGAAGAAGAAGAAGATAGTTACAGTACATAAAAAACGACGGTTCATAGAAAATAAAAATACAGCTACAAATCAATACATTTGAAATAAACCAGGGGATGAAATGGGGGATGAAAGCTGGTGTGTATTTTTTAAATAATATTGTATGTTCTTCATATGGAAAATATTATTATACTGAATATGCCTTTTACCGCGAATATAAATTAATCTTAAAGGGGATGAAAACTTGTGTGATAAATTAATTTTATAAGGACTGTGCTTTATTAGTTTATAAAGATGAAGATATTTTTATTTATCAGAACATGTGTGACAATACGGAAATATATTTTTGGTGTTAGTAGGTTTTGTTAGTATCAACATGTCTTACCGATATTCGGCGTGTAAAAATTATAATTAGTCTGTTTTTATAAGTCAATACAACAACAATCAAACAAACATAGCAAATTTTCAACATTTCAACCAGCATAATATCCTCAAAAGATACATAATATGGTTTTCAGGAAAAATGAAATCCACAGAAGTGTAAATTAAAAAGCTCAATCGATTTATGCATACAAAAAAAAATATGACTTACTTTCTGTGCCCTGTCCTAAAGGATTCGCTATACTTCCAACACTGGACAGTATATTCGTCCAAAAACCACCTTTATTCTTCACATTCGACTGGTCCATCATGCTGTAGTTCTGTCTCCCTCCCACACTGTTGGCTTCAGCTAGTGCTATCCTTTTCTTCTTCACCAATATCATGTCCATTGTTTGGAGGAGTTTCTTCTCTATTGACAATACGTCGGATTGCGTGACGGGTCTGAGAAAATATGATGGGATTTTAGTATTAACTAACCGACTCGGCGAACTTCGTACCACTTATGTTCATCAGAAATAATGTAACATTCTAACGGTAAAAGAATTTTTCAAATCAATTCAGTAGTTTCGGAGCCTATTCAATGCAAATAAACAATCAAATCTTTCCTCTTTATAATAAGTATTAATGCATAATCAGATAATGCTACTGTTGTAGCTTGAAGGCTTAAAAAAACAAATAAAAGGTTTAAGGTTCGGCCAAACCAACGCGGTCACACGCGATCAGCCGGCGTGCAGCGATGGCGACCAGACTAAAATGCGGTATCCTTCCGTTTGGCCAAATTACTTTTCGCCAAATTTCACTTCGCAAACAACTTATCGCCAAAGTTTCATTTCCCGAATGAACTTTTAGCAACTGTACTTTTCGCAACTGTTTCATTTGGTCAAATTATCATTTGGCAAAATTTTACTTGGCAAATTTTTATATAGCAAATGTTTTATTTTGCCAAATATTATATCCCAAATAATTTGTTTGGTCAAATTGACACTTCACATAGGTACTTACTTACCCACCGTTACTCACAAATCAAAGCAAAGCATAAGGCACATGATCGTGGTTTTCAGAAGAATTTTATGTAAAACAAAGAGATTGCAGAAAAGAGTATGGTTGCAGAAAGTAGGTATTGCAAAAAATAGTAGGTTAGGTTAGGTTAGAACAGTGACCCTTAACAGAGCTAGAATCACCTCTATTGTTAATTAATCATTTGGAAATATCGATTAAACAAAATAATAACCACAAGCTAATTTGTATTCCATTCTATGCACCAATCAAATTGTTTTGTAAATAGTTTATCGTGAAATAGTTTTGCCAAATGAAACATTTGGCAAAACATACTTTGCCAAACAATAATTTGCTAAACAATAATATGCCAAAAACGACATTTGCGAATTGAAAGTTTGCAAAAAGTTGTTTTTGCCAAATGAGAATTTGCCAAACGAAAATTTGCAAAACGTTGTTTGCGATGTGATAATTTGGGAAACGTTTTTTGGCCAAACATTAGTAATCCCTAAAATGCATTGATAGCCATCGATGCACGCCAGCTGATCGCGTGTGGTCGCGTTGGTTTGGCCAAACCTTTACAAAGATTTAAACATACAGAGCGATCCTGGCGCCATCTACTAAAAGCTTTGTGTATGGAACCCCATTAAGTACCTTTAATATTAAAAAAAGGAGTTGCCCTTACCGGTAATCAGAAATCTAGTTTTAAGAAAATTATACCTTATGAAAATAGCCATAGAAGTGTACGGATAATTGACAGCACCAAAACCAGAGAGCAGAGCCATGACGGTCACTCCGATGATTCCAATCCGAGACACTCCCTGCTCTATGGAGAATATTCCCTGAAAATAATGTTAGCCAATAAGTACAATGCTATACGATATGTAAGATATTTACTAATTATGATGGTAATCCTTGCTTCGAAATGTTCACATTTCTAGTGTCTGTATTTCTGCTTCCTTTTTTTTGTCAACTGCCAAAAAAATTTGGTTTTGTTTTGATTAGGTGGTAGTTAATCTAATTTTTTCCTATAACTCTAAATAATTTCCAAGAATTCAACTGACCTGTTTAGGGCTCAAAATAGGAAATGGGTCTCCAATTTTCCAGAAGAAGTACAAATAGATGAACCACACAAACACTGTTAGTGGTCTTATCATGTTTTGGGAGACTGAAAAACAAAACAATTTTATTTTATGTACACTTTAAATGGAATGAAAATGGATTTCATACATTATTATGGGTAAATATAACAGTGATCTGTAACTACAATAACAAGCAGAGGTAAGGTAAACCAAAGAGTAATGAGTATTTTAATTTTGATTTTTTTTTTTTTATGGTTTAATCATGCGATCAGTCACGGTAATATTATCATACAGTATTGGAACTTCATATAAACGGACGAAACGCGAGCTTTCCTTCGAAATTCAAATCTCAGTATGCGCTCGACATGCAAAAGTCGGGGGTGTCGCTAATGTGCCACAGTAGGTAATAAACAAACGATGTGTTGTTTTTTAAACAGTATGTGCTTTTTTTTTATAATAATAATTACAACTACCTATTTATACAGGGTGTTAGGTATGGGTTCATAAGCCGACACTAGCCTATGTTAACATGTACATGTAAATGGTATGGTAAAGTCAGTGATATCATCATTTTTTTTTTTCATACAAAATAAAATGTATAAAATCAGATTTGTATGAAAATTAAAATTATTAAAATGATGATATCAATTTTCTTTCTGACTTCACCATACCGTTTATATGCACATGTTAACATGGGCTAGTGTCGGCTATAAACCCATTTTACCTAACACCCTGTATAATTAATAATCAAGCATTTTGTAAGCCTCAGTCGGGGCGCATACATTTTAGGTATGGTCGCAAATTTATAAGATTTGTTACTAAATCTTAACACAAATATATTTTTTAAATTAAATCTACCAATCACAAAACAACATGCATTTTTATCCTATTTCATTCACAAAGTATTTTGTTTGTCAAAATAAAATAAAAAAATACAATCACAAAATACATTCACAAAACTAGATAGAAATTCTAAGTAGGCAGATGTCATGAAAATAGGGTCTGTAGGTGGGCAGCCCTATCGCATGTTGTCATACGGTGAAGTACCGCGCGGCTGTTGACATTTATTTCAAAAATAAGGCTGAGTTGGAATACTGTATAGATAGTATTACCGTGGATCAGTCCTCAAAAACTATAAGCAGATGGGGTGGATTCTTTTCGTCATTTAGAGCACTGCTCCCAGCGGAAATAGGCCTTTATTTTTCTTAATCTCAGGTTTATTTTCAGACTAATTCATTGTCGAAGATATCCCGCCGCTTCTTAAGCCGCCGTATGGTTTCTGGGATAGTGAGCTGCCCAGCCAACTGGTTCGGGTGCTTTGACAGTCTTAGCTTGTAGCTGTTTCCATGGGTGTCTATCTCTTGCTTCACCATAGGCACGTTCAATAACTCGTGCAGCTCTGTTGTTCTTATAAACCATGGTGCATTCGATATTTGTTTCAGGATGTAGTTTTGCACTCTCTGGATTATCATGATGTTAGAGGCACTTGCAGAGCCCCACAACTGGATGCCGTAGGTCCAAATGGGCTTCAGAATCATTTTGTATATGAGCAGCTTGTTATCCAAACATAGTTTTGAATTGCGCCCCAGCAGCCAATAGAGACCCTTGTATTTTAGATTAATTTCGTCTCGTTTGGTTTTTACATGTTTACTCCACGTAAGTCTACGGTCCAAGTACATGCCCAGGTATCTTACAGTTTCTTGGTGTGGTAATTGGACGCCGTTTAGGGTAACTGCAGGACAGTCTCCTTTACGGAGGGTAAAGGTTATGTGCACCGATTTGGATGCACTGACTGCTATTCTCCATTTGGCCAGCCATTTTTGAACTTCATTCAGGATGTTTTGCAGGATTCGAGAAGCTTCGATAGGACATTTGGAGGATGTCAGTAAAGCCGTGTCATCAGCGAAGGTTGCGACGGTGACTTCTGGGCTCTGCGGTAGGTCGTATGTGTACAGGGTGTATAGGATTGGTCCCAATACAGAACCCTGGGGGACTCCTGCCGATATTTGATAGAAGTTGGAGGTGCAGTCATTCTCATTCACTTGAAAGATTCTGTCAGACAAATACGATTCCAGGATTCCGTAGAATGTGTGTGGCAATATTGATTTGATCTTACACAATAGGCCTTTGTGCCAGACTCGATCGAAGGCTTGTTGGATATCAAGAAACACAGATGAGCAGTATTCTTTTTTCTCCATTGATCTGATTACTCTGCACACTCTATGTACCTGTTCAATAGTTGCGTGTTCTTCTCTGAAGCCAAATTGATGTTCCGGGATTATTGATCTTTCCGTTATCACTTTCATCATTCTTTGAAGTATAGACTTTTCAAGTAGCTTTGACATGATCGGCAAGAGGCTGATTGGTCTGTATGATGTGACTTCGTGAATAGGTTTCCCAGGTTTATGGATCATTATGATACTCGATACCTTCCACAGGTCTGGGAAGTATCCAATCCTTATTATGGCGTTAAATACCATTGTTAGGTACACAGCCACTTTACGAGGGGACTCTTGTAGGACTCGTAGAATTTTGATTGAATGAGATAAAGTAAGAGTTTATACAAAGGAATTAGCTATTGAAAAGATAAAATAGGGATTTGAATGGAATGTTCTGATATGTCATTCCATGGACTTCTTTATGTTTAAATTTAAAACTATAATGTGCTGAACAACTTACCAAACCTGACGTTGCTGATGCAGAAATATGCAATATAAAATGGTATTAGTGCTATAACCATAAAGAGAAGTGAGTAAAGTCCCAGGTTCCAATGAAAGTATCTGGAGCTGGAAAATAAAGTACATCACCTAAAATAATTTAGAATTATTTACGTTAAAAACAGCAAAAAATTCTTTGCAATAACTAAAGTCTGAAGTCAGTTTTCAGACTTTGGGCCTCATAAGAAGGCNCTCAAAGAAAAAAATGATCCCCATGATGTGGAGAATAAGTAGTCTTCGGCTTCGGGATAGGTTTTTTTACACCCGTTATAGGGTCCCTGAAAATATGAGTGCAAAAGAAAATCTCTAACATAGAAAATTTTTTACTCGAAGTGCTCGGCGTTTACGACTTCAAATTATTCGTTCTTTTGAAAGCACATTCGGCGATACTTAGAAGTGGACAAAATTTACTCTTCGGTCTTACGAGGTTATCGTGGGGTGCAGGTCAGAACGAGTACGAAGTCTGAAACTCCCAAATTGTTATCATAAGGAAGATTAATTCAATAAATATTTTTTTCTGTGTGTATTTTTCCGATTATTTTGTTATGACGACGCGACGTACTCGTAGTATCGATTGCATTACAACTTTACAACTCATTGACCCCGTGAATTGATTTAAACATTGGAAAATAGTTTTGCCTATAAGTATAATGATTCTTTTTTTTTTTTGGTGTTTTCCATAAAAAACTATGGGTTACCACAAAAGCGCATTGAATTTTTGAGATCATGAATTTTCTTGAATCGATTCTTTAGTTTTTGATTCCTCTTAAGGTCCTATGTTCCCTAGATGGGGTAGAGGGCGTCCACAACAGTCCTCCATCGCGTTCGGTCTTAAGCTTCGCGCTTGATCTCGCTCCAGGTCTTGCCGATTTTCTTCGCCTCGTCTGCTACAGTGCGCCGCCAAGTTTGCTTGGGGCGACCACGTTTTTGACTGCTGAAATTGTTAAATTATACCTCCCCAAATAAGAAATTATATGTAGTTATAGCTAGAATTTACTTTCTTTACTTTATTCGACTCCATAAAAGTTAAATTTTTGCATCCATATTAATTTTACTTAAGTTCAACATACCTTTACGACATTGCATATTACATAATAATAATTATTTTGTTCTAGACGTCCTTCAAGTTCATACAAACTCAAGTTGTCGTGTTCGTAAAATTAGCATCACTTAACATTCACTTACGATTTTTACATTTGCATACTATACCTACGTTACTTGCTATGTATGTAGCGCGAGAGGTGACGAAATACTAAAAGTTCAAGTAAATTGCTCACTTAGGGATTTCAATCAAAATTATTCATCTACAACAATTGAGGTTTAAACCCTTATGACGAACATCGAACTACTTTCGATACTTTACCCAATGTTCGTTGAATTTCATCGACATAAACCATACACTCCTTAGGGACTCCTTAGGGACTCCTTAGGCACTAAGCCCTAGTGTGAGTTTACATCAAACGTCGTCATATTATAGCAACATTTTAGTTCTTGAAAGTTTCCGCTAGGGGCCCTGTACAATCTGTCATACATATATTCTAAAAAAAGAAATAAATAAATAAATATCCTTAGACATTTTACACTGCGCTTCTAGTCCCAAACTAAACAAAGCTTGTACTATGGGTACTAGACAACGGATATAAACATACTTAAATACTTTTTTTTTGTAAATACATACTTATTATACATAGAAAACACCCAGTCCAATACAAACAAATATGTTCATGCACACAAAATGTTTGTACTGTGCGGGAATCGAACCCGCTACCTCCGGAATAGTAGTCCGTTTCGAACTACTACACCAAACGGCCGACAAGAAAGAAAAAATCCAGTTAAGTTTAAAACTTAATAAACATTGATGTGTTCCTCCTCAGGTATACGAAGCTGAAAGAGCAGACGAGCTGACATCCTACCAGCTAGACAAGACAGAGGTGCAGCCACAAGAAGGCTGGTCGGAACAGGACCCCATAGAAATCCTACACCATATAAAAGAGTGCGCGGAGAAGACCATAGAACAGTTGACTGAGTTAGGTGAGAAAAGTACCTATTTCTAGTTATAGTTCTTGCAACTCACGAAGGCGAGTTAGCTTTACTTGTGTGTGTACGTGTACAATGTACATGCACATAACGATAGTGTAATGTCTGTCAAAACTTAAAAAAACGAACAGTAGCGAGCCACCACACATGTAAAGCTCACTCGCCTTCGTGAATTGCTACAACTATAATTTAGATGAAAAAACTTGTAGATAACAACTGCCATAGGTGGTACTTGAACTTCAGGGACCTTAACACTGAGCAACCGACTTTAATCACTGAGCTACCGACTTTAATCACTGAGCTACCGACTTTAATCACTGAGCTACCGACTTTAACCACTGAGCTACCGACTTTAATCACTGAGCTACCGACTTTAATCACTGAGCAACCGCACCGAGCTACCGACTTTAATCACTGAGCTACCGACTTTAGTCACTGAGCTACCGACTTTAATCACTGAGCTACCGACTTTAATCACTGAGCTACCGACTTTAATCACTGAGCTACCGACGTTAATCACTGAGTTACCGACTTTAACCACTGAGCTACCGACTCTACTATTGAGCTATACTGAGACATCCCTTCCTCAACCTGCCGAAAATGTCCAGTTTTTTTTAAACTTTTGNTTATAAGGACTGTGCTTTATTAGTTTATAAAGATAAAGATATTTTTATTTATCAGAACATGTGTGACAATACAGAAATATATGTTTGGTGTTAGTAGGTTTTGTTAGTATCAACATGTCTTACCGATATTCGGCGTGTAAAAATTATAATTAGTCTGTTTTTATAAGTCAATACAACAACAATCAAACAAACATAGCAAATTTTCAACATTTCAACCAGCATTATATCCTCAAAAGATACATAATATGGTTTTCAGGAAAAATGAAATCCACAGAAGAAGTGTAAATTAAAAAACCTCAATCGATATATGCATACAAAAAAAATATGACTTACTTTCTGTGCCCTGTCCTAAAGGATTCGCTATACTGCCAACACTTGACAGTATATTCGTCCAAAAACCCCCCTTATTCTTCACGTTCGACTGGTCCATCATGCTGTAGTTCTGTCTCCCTCCCACACTGTTGGCTTCGGCTAGTGCTATCCTTTTCTTCTTCACCAATATCATGTCCATTGTTTGGAGGAGTTTCTTCTCTATTGACAATACGTCGGATTGGGTGACGGGTCTGAAAATAGGAAGGATTTGTGCATTAACTAACCGACTCGGCCAACTTCGTACCTTCATCAGATATAATGTAAGATTTTAAGGGTGAAAGAATTTTTCAAATCGGTCCAGTAGTTTTAGAGCCTATTTAAAACAAACAAACAATCAGATCTTTCCTCTTTATAATATTAGTGCAGACAATGCTAGACTGTTGTAGCATGAAGGCTTGAAAAAACAAATAAAAGGTTTAAGGTTCGGCCAAACCAACGCGATCACACGCGATCAGCCGGCGTGCAGCGATGGCGACCAGAGCCCCGATTACGGTAACTTTTAACGTCTACAATCCAGACGCGCTTCATCGAGAAGCGTGTCTGGATTGGAGACGTTAAAAATTACCGTAATCGGGGCTCAGACTTAAATGCATTGATAGCCATCGCTAATTCGCTGCACGCCGGCTGATCGCGTGTGATCGCGTTGGTTTGGTCGAACCTTTACAAAGCGATCCTGGCGCCATCTACGAAAAGCTTTGCGTGTGGAACCCCTTTAATGTCACGGTTTTGAAATAAGGAGTTGCCCCTACCAGCCATCAGAAATATTGTTTATCTTAATAGCTAACAGAATATCATACCTTATGAAAATAGCCATAGATGTGTACGGATAGTTGACAGCACCAAAACCAGAGAGCAGAGCCATGACGGTCACTCCGATGATTCCAATCCGAGACACCCCTTGCTCTATGGAGAATATTCCCTGAAAATAATGTTAGCCAATAAGTACTTACTGAATTTGTTACCTATCTTTATAAGGAAACATTAACATTTAAAACTTTGGACATTTTATGGCAATCCTTGCATGGAATGGAAATGTTTACATTCATTCTTGTCTCTATTTTTACTTTTTTTTTTCAACTGCCAAAAAATTTGGTTTTGTTTCGATTAGGTGGTACTTATTCTCATTTTTTCCTAAACTAAATAAGAATTCTTATTCAACTAACCTGTTTAGGGCTCAAAATAGGAAATGGGTCTCCAATTTTCCAGAAGAAGTACAAATAAATGAACCACACAAATACTGTTAGTGGTCTTATCATGTTTTGGGAGACTGAAAAACAAAACAATTTTATTTTATGTACACTTTGAATGGAATGAAAATGGATTTCACACATTATTATGGGTAAATATAACAGTGATCTGTAACTACAATAACAAGCAGAGGTAAGGTAAACCAAAGAGTTATGAGTATTATAATTTTGATTGAGTGAGATAAAGTAAGAGTTTATAGAAAGAAGTAGCTATTGAAAGGATGAAATAGGGATATGAATGGAACTGTTCTGATAGGTCATTCCACGGACTTCTTTTTATTTAAATTTTAAACTATCATGTGCTGAACAACTTACCAAACCTGACGTTGCTGATGCAGAAATATGCGATATAAAATGGTATTAGTGCTATAACCATAAAGAGCAGTGAGTAAAGTCCCAGGTTCCAATGAAAGTATCTTGAGCTGAAAAAGAAAAAATATACAGTCAAAACCAAATATTTCTTTACTAGAAAAGCATGCCTATTTATCAAAAAAACTTCAAACATACTTCAGTCAGTACTCATTTCAAGTCAGACTTTAGAGACTACCTTAACTGTATGATATCACACTCTATGTAATACTCATTCTAACGCAGGTTCCAATAGAAAATTGAGTAATAACATGGAAGTTACCTTGAATCCAAGTAACCAATGATTTCAAAAATAATTAGCTCAAACATAGTGCAACTCAGGGCGAACGTGACTGAGAATATGAGCTGTACCATCGTGTGGTGGACTTCATAGTCGCGAAATAACTGCTTCACGAAAAATATCCAGCCGCCGACGAAGAAAAACGTCTGAAATTAAATTGATTGGATTTCAAGTCAAAATAGCCCACAAATAGATTTTTGATACTTCGACACATAAGCTAAGTATTTAAACAACTTAATTAAATGTAATAAAGTAGGTATTTATCAATTAAAACCGATAAATTAACATTTATTTACTATACATAACCTCGTTCAACATTACTATTATTTTATATACTTAGGCGAAATTAGGCATACCTGGGATATAAGAATGATCAAAGTATCTTCTAAAAGAGTCATATTTGTTTGTTTACTTCATTAACTTTAATAAAATTATCGTTTTAAGATATTTTGCCGTACAGCAAAACACAACACCTGTCAGTCAGCTGTCCGACTAGTGATGCCAGGGAAGCGGCACTGCGGCATTATCGATAGATTAACTGCTTCAGACGCAGAGGTCCCGGGTTCGATTCCCAGTGGGGGCAGATTTTTCTGTTCGGTTTGGTTGGTGGTAGGGCTTGTTCTAAGTCCGCCTGGCTAGCTACCACCATCTTACCTAAGTCTGTCGCCATAACAACAATGTTAACAGCNTAAGTCCGCCTGGCTAGCTACCACCATCTTACCTAAGTCTGTCGCCATAACAACAATGTTAACAGCATTGTTGTGTTCCGGCAGTTAGAGGTAAGATAGCCAGTTCCTCCGTGGTTGAGGATTCCGGGTGAAGCTCGCTTCCACCTTCGGCCTGATCATCACTTACCATCAGGTGAGATACAGGCCAAGAGCTTCCTCGTTGTGGATAAAAAAAAAAGAAAGCATCTAACTTACTTGTCCAACAATAAAACTGTCTAATGTCGGTTGGTCCGATGATAATACGTAAATATCAAGTTTTGTAAATTCTTCATGAGCAATAGTAATTATTAGTGATGCTCTACTTTTTTTATATAATTTATTTACGCATTAGCGACCCGTCCCTGCACTCCCTGCTTCGCACAGGTACAATGTGTACAACATACATAGAAACGTTCCGCTTGAATCATTCTATCTGTTAAGAAAACACATCAAATCATTTTTAAGATTTAAGCATACACAAGAGACATCCTTACAGAACTTGATGGGCTTATTTCTAAATACAGCAACAGCAAAATTTTGATTACACAATATAATAATGTTGGAAAAATTTTTCGCATCATGTCAAGTTTTTAGTAGAGCAACAGGTGTAGTAACATTTGGAAAATCTTGCTTTATTTGGATGAATGATTTATAAAGTGCCTTTGGTTTTTTTATCGAGTATCGATAGCAAACATTCAACAGTAGTTTTCATCACTACAGCTGTCATTCTTTTTGTTTTTAATTTTTCTTACTTCCACAGGCAAAGGCAATGATAGAAAATGGAAAGTGAGATATCAGACGGCCTGAGCCCCGATTACGGTATTTTTTAACGTCTCCAAGCAATCCAGACGCGCTTCATCGATTCTGCGATACGATAATTGGTTAGCGTAATGATCAACAGCGTACGTCAGCTGTTTTGACCAATCGTATCGCAGAATCGACGAAGCGCGTCTGGATTGCTTGGAGACGTTAAAAATTAACGTAATCGGGGCCCTGAATCCGCAAAGAAGGTGGAACACAGATTACTTATGAGGTGGAAGGAAGCGAGCTTCACCCGGAATAATTCTCAACTATCTAAGGAGGAACTTGCTGACTTTACTTTAACTGCCGGAACACAACAATAATGTTATGGGCGACGCGATAATAGGCTAATAGGATGGTGGTAAAAATCAAACTGAGCAGAAAATCTTTAATAAATCCGTCAATCCGTCTGTATTGGAGACGTTAAAAATTAGCGTAATCGGGGCCCTGAATCCGCAAAGAAGGTGGAAGCGAGCTTCACCCGGAATTCTCAACTAAGGAGGAACTGGCTGACTTTACTCTAACTGCCGGAACACAACAATAATGTTATGGCAACGTGATAGGCTAATAATAGGATGGTGGTAAAAACCAAACTGAGCAGAAAATCTTTAATAAATCGTATGCCGCTCCACTAAGCGCAATCAAGGGACTTTGGACTATGCAGGATCATGCATTTTCCAGTCGAAAAAAAATAATAAAAAAGGCGGTCTTAACGCTATGAAGGAAGTGTATATAGCAAGGAAGGTGTGGCAATAAAAGAAGCAGAATTTAATTATTGTAAAAACTAGAGATGGGCCGACTAGTCGCCGACTAGTCGGGAAAGCCGACTATTCGGCATCATTTGTAGTCGGCCGACTAGTGACGACTATTCGGCAAAATATGCCGATTATAATCGGCGCATTACAAAATTAAATATGTGAATGAAATAAACTCATAATCACCAAGATAATTATGAGGTAGATCAATGGCGTTTATCTAAATCATTTTTGACTGTAAAAAATCAGTAAAAAGTGGTTTCACCTGATTTAAAATTTTGGCAATCAGTCTAAATTCATATAAAGTTAAGATTAGTTAAAATTACCAGGAAATCATCAAAAATGTGTAAAGTTTATGTAATTTGTCCATACATACATATAAAAATTATGACACTTTTTTCGGGGAAAAAAATGCATGGAATTGCATAACTGCGGAGAAGTGGTAGATTATGTCGGGCTCCTCTCATCGGAAGGATGAGGAATACCCACATAAATAACCCATGAGATCGCCTTAGTGTGAAGAGCTATGGGAATCCGGACAAAGCCATCAACTATCACAGTCCGTCCCGGCAATTGCCCACCTGTCTGTATGGCGGGCCCTGCCTATCCGACGGTGGTGGTAGTCCGTGATATGTAGGCGGGGGTGGGCCCCACGCCGCCAGCTCGCTGACCATCACCGTGGAGGGTGGAGAGGAATCAGTGGGCCTAGGATGCGTGCCGCGATAAGCGCAATTTTGCCCATACATTTTGACGTCGATAAGTAAGAATAATATCACGCGCGCGCGCATCCTTTTTTTTCCGTCAGGAAATGTATGAAATTGCATACCCACTGGCTCGGGGGAACCAGTGGGTTATGTGAGGCTCTCCCTCAGATGGGCAGGGCCTACTCACTAAAACCTGACGGTGTCCTCCCGAAGTCTTTGGGACGGAGCTGCGAGTTATTGTCCGAGCTAGACGGCCTAGACATTCTTTCGCGGCTCCGCCCCAGACTGTGGCTCGCTCTGTTTGAGCCAGCGACGACGCCGACGACTGGCTTCAGGGGAGTAGTACCTCCCCTGTTCTTCGCTAGCGGTGCGCCTGAACACATGCGCGCGCCGCCGCCACGGGTCCTCCTTTAGCGGCCACCAAACACCCCCGTGACTAGTGGCCGAGGACCCTTAAGAAGGGGCATGGAGATGGTAGTGTCTCCTGCGGTGTCCTGGACGTCGGCAACGGTTCGGTGGAGCATCAGGCGAGGCCTCTCGCTCCCTCTCCGCCGCTTCTTTCTGCGACATGACCTCCTCGCAGAAGTGGAGCACCGCATGCCTGCATCTGGGCTCTCTACCATACGAGGCAGGATGGCCCGTAAGGAGAAATCTTGTCCTACCTGTTCCACGAGGATTTCGCGCTCTGCCACCCAAGCTTGGCACACTTCGAGTGTGTGCTGCGCGGAATTCTCGATGCCTTCTCGACAATGCCAGCAATTGGCACTTTGCTAGCCCAGCAGGAGGCGATCATATTGTCACCTCCTCTGACTCCTCCGCCGTCAAAAAATATGACATCTACCATAGGTACTGTTAGGTGAATGCAATGTTGCTTTTTATTTTTTCTCATATTGAAGTAATCTCATTTCTCAAAAAGTTATATTTATCTCTTTAGAAATCTAGATATTCATATTTCTTTGAGAAAATCTAGATATTTTATTCTTCGGACAAGTAGGTATTAGAATGATCGGCATTGCCGATTAGTCGGCCGACTAATCGGCAATTTGAAAACCGATTAGTCGGCTAGTCGGTTAGTCGGCAAAGACCATAGTCGGCCCATCACTAGTAAAAACATTTTATTCGCAATAATGACTAACAAGTATCAACACAAACACATGTATAATTGCTGTAATTAATAATGTAGGTACAATCCGGTCGAGTCAACTGCACTCTGGTGGCCGTGACGTCACATCTCTAGTACGAATGCAATGGGGCGAAGGCGTGGAGATGTGAATTGTGAAGTCGCATTAGTGAGGTGCGCAGTTAACTCAATCGGGTTGTTATGTATAACTAAAAGTTAAGTTAGTAATGTTACCTAACTATTGTGGTATTTCATTGAGCCACTACCAGTGGCGGCGTAGCATGGGTTGGCACCCGGGGCGATCACCCCCCCCGTCACAAGTCCTAGGGCACCCCCTGATACCCCCCAGGATTTTGGGGTTACTTACCGATTCGAAGATTGAAAGACAATCGCACCCCCCACCCCCCCGTATCATGACATAGACCGCAGATTTGCCATGCAGATGTGCCAGTGAGTNCTATAACTTGTTTTTGAAGGAAGAGGTGAAAACATAAAATTAAAAACTTAAATCCTTGTAAATATGCAAGAAATGGGTCAAGCCCCAAATTTAAAGTATTTTCACCGATAAAATTGTCCATAGATTACGCCCTTAAAGTTTGATCACTACATGCCCGGACACACTGTATAAGGAGGAACTTGCTGACTTTACTCTAACTGCCGGAACACAACAATAATGTTATGGCGACGCGATAGCCGATAGGCTAATAGGACAGTGGTAAAAAACAAACTGAGCAGAAAATCTTTAATAAATCGTATGCCGCTCCACTAAGCGCAATCAAGGGACTTTGGACTATGGAGGATCATGCATTTTCCAGTCGAAAAAAGTATTAATAAAAAAGGCGGTCTTAACGCTATGAAGGAAGTGTAGCAAGGAAGGTGTGGCAATAAAAGAAGCAGAATTTAATTATTGTAAAAACATTTTATTCGCAATAATGACTAACAAGTATCAACACAAACACATGTATAATTGCTGTAATTAATAATGTGGGTACAATCCGGTCGAGTCAACTGCACATCAGAGCCCCGATTACGGTATTTTTTAACGTCAACAATCCAGACACGCTTCTCGATTCTGCGATACGATTGGTCGTTCAACAGCGTACGTCAGCTGTTTTGACCAATCGTATCGCAGAACCAGAAACGCGTCTGGATTGTAGACGCTATAAAAGTTACCGTAATCGGGGCTCTGGTGGCCGTGACGTCACATCGATGCTCTAGTACGAAGGCGTGGAGATGTGAATTCGCATTCAGTTAGGTGCGCAGTTAACTCGACCGTGTTATTATCATAATCATTTAATTCATTATGTTAGCTAAAAGTTAAGTTAGTAATGTTACCTATTGTGGTATTTGATTGAGCCACGTAAACCGACAGTCATTGGACGCTGCCAGTCATTGGACAAAACAACCCTTGAATTTTCTCAAAATGAATATTCCTTCAAAAAAACGCTCTTTTATCTCCATCAGTCGGATTCTCTCAGTTGTTGAAATAGAAATGCTATTTCTAATTCTGTAAATAACTGTCCCATAACTTTCTTATGCGTCCAATGACTGGCAGTTTACCTACATAACTTTAGTCTTATTGATGGTTCAACATCATTGGATGGATACTAAAAGTTGTAAGGAAACATAATTATAGGCAGGATACAAGTGAGAGAAATTAGTCCCAATTTGTCCCAAAAAGTGCAGATTTTCTCCATCCTGTTATATGTATAAGATCTAAACATAAATTACAACATTTACAAATAAATAAAGCATCAAGCTGTTTTGATGTTCATTCATATAACAAACATGGATTTAATTATGTTTACCCTAAGAATATAAGTTTCAGTAACATTTTATCTTTTTATAATACTCCCATTATTAGCCCCTCGTACGAAGCGAAATATGCTTGTGTCACGAGTGGGCTCACCACAATAGTCGAGCGAATGATTGATTGATGATAAGCTAGTTTTCAAACATTTCTACAATATATTCATTATCAGTATTTAGTAACTTGATTTTAAGACAAGACTCTTCAGGAATATTACCACTTTCAAAACCATATTCTTCACTTTCCATTTTCATTAAGTCCTGTGTAAGTTGTTTGAAATCGGACGTGTTGACTTTCTGTGTACGGACTGGTTTACTGACTTCTGGCTCCAGTGTTGAATTGAATTCATTGTCATGTGTCTTTTTATGTTTATGCAAATAATTCTGAGAACTGAATTTACTTCCGCACACGTTACACTCCAAAGTTGCATCCGTGTGTTGTTTTTTCACATGTTCCGATCTCCGTGAGGCTGAAAGAAACCTGGCATTACAATGAGAGCATTCGTACGGTTTATCTCCAGTGTGTAAACGTGTATGATATAACAAAGATTCTCTCGTCACAAACTTTTTATTACACTCTTTACATGAAAAGTTTTTCTCTTTAGTGTGCTTGACCATGTGTGCTTTCAATCGACTTATTGCCCAGAATTTTTTATTACAGAGTTCACACACATGAGCCTTGTAGTTTCCGTGTTCGTACTGTATGTGTACTCTTAAAGACACTTTCTGTGTATATTTCTTATTGCAATAGTCACATGTGAACTTAGCATCTGCTGGAGAAGCTCTAACTTGTTGACTGCAAACGTTTAGCTCTTTATGCTTCCTAAACGTTGTCTTATTTTTATACACTCTGCCACAATCTTGACAAACGAATCTCAAGTAATGCCCCATTTCGTGCATCTTGAATGTGTGTTTATTGTTAAAAGATTTTCCACATTGACTGCAAATAATAAGAGAATGGCTCTCAGAGTTGTGAGCCTCCAAATAGGCTGGTGATCCAAACCTTTTTGGGCATTTGGAACATTTGTATGTCTTTGGTGCATGAACACGAATAAAATGGTTACGTAAACCCAGTTTTGATGGGTACGTTTTTAAACACTCTTTACACTGGATGTCAGAAGCTTTGTTATCATAAAGCATTTCATTTGTTGGTATTTGTATCAACAATCTGCCCCTTTGCTTCTTAACTTTTTCTTTTTTAACGCCTAAAGGGTATACTTCGACTTCTAACTTCGGTTTTAGTTTTGGACTGTTAACCATGGATCGGAACCTCCTGTGTGCTGCGGTGGCAGTGTGGACCGGTCTTTTGTTATCGTAGAACTGTCTGCTGGTGAAGTCCTCAGTGTTCAGAGATACGAACAAAGAATTGCAATCATTCATTGCTTCTTGCTCTTCAACATTTGAAAAACTATCATATAACCCATTCAAGGAGTTTTTCAGTAAATCGGAGTTGATTTTACTGGTTTTCGCAAAACTATAGCTATGGATAGCTGTTAGTGCACACTGAGTGCAAATGTGCTCAAAAGTTAGCAAGTAGTCTATTATCTGTAAAAAAAAAAGTTATTTAATATTAATCACTTATAGAGTAAATATCATGAAAAAAGCAAAGCCATAGAATGACTTCTATAAGATGTTTATCCATTTAATATGAATTCAGACCTGTTTGTTTACATTATTTTAATTAAGAGATGCACTTAAAATTATTTTACCTCCACACCAATGATAGTTGAAAGAAGCTCAGAAACCGATACATTGACTTCCTCTTGGTTTATATTAACTGCCACTTCATCTTCAACGTGAATAGGTTGTTCGTAAATTATGTTTAAACACAAGCAACAGAAGTCATTTTTTCTCTTCAATAAATTATCCAAAGCAGTGGTTAAAGTCGTCATTTTGCAGTTTGGAGTTACAAAATAATCTTCTGGCTGTGATAAAATTACTGTTTGATGTTTATTTATTAAGCTACAGACAGTGTTTCATGATTAAATCTGAATAAATACAAATTAATTCACCACGAACTTGCGATTTAGCTAAAGGGAGGCCATCTTGAAACTAGTTTTTTTGATGATTCAGATTCCTCAAATCAGTCTCTTCCTCTCAAACACATGCCTGTCCATATTCAAGTGAAAGAGACAGATATATTAGGTTTATTATGAAATTGTTTGTCAGCAAAGTAGACCCCCTTTTCTTGTCGCAAATGTCACAATGACGTTTGCAAAGTAGTTTTATTTTAACGTCTGTCTGGTTGATCGATAGATAACCTTGCTGGACAATTTGCCGCATAGTGTACTTGCGCCCAACTCCTGTTATCTCCTCTCATTTTCTATTGGTGGAAAAAAATAAATAAAAGTGTTAATGTCAAAAAAAATTATGTGAGACAGTGGCTAAATCAGAGTCGTGAATTGGTGTCACCTTTCGTAAAAATTACGAAAAAAATTGATAAAAAATTGAAAAACTATGTGAATACTGTGCAACAGCAAAACAAATTAACCGTAAAAATTACAACAATATCAGAAAAAATAGAGGGTAAGTCAGTTTATTGATTTTCTAATACCTTCACAAGTTGCTTGCTTAGCGAATTCAAGATAAGTAATATCAATTAATTTGTAATTATAGCTACAAAATCTTCTTTACATCTGTAAGTAGAAATCTATATACATAATTTCTATAGAGGAATTACCGAAAATTGCTTTAACCATAAAGATAAATAGGTTATAATATGACATGTTACTTCCTTTAAAATTGACTCGATACATACCAGCCCCCCTAGACAAAACGCACTTTTTGATCGAATCGAAAATCGAATCCGTCAAAACTCCATACAAAAAAGGGACTTTTCGACCACTTTTCGACTGGTTTGCGATTATAATTTGCACTTTGTCTAGACCCACTTCCCCCTTAGACAAAACGCACTTTTTGATCGAATCGAAAATCGAATCCGTCAAAACTCCATACAAAAAAGGGGCTTTTCGACCACTTTGCGATTATAATTTGCACTTTGTCTAGACCCACTGTATTCCGCAGGTGTGTCAATATATTTTTTAATACTCATATTATGTATTAGGAAATACAAAATTTTTAGGTTTTATTGATACTTAATATATCTTTCAGTTATAAAAATATTAATTGTTTTGTAAACAATGTGCTCTTACTATCAGTTCAATTTAGTATCCTGATCCAAAGTCCAAAACTTCATGCAAATGTAATTGGTGGTTTCAAAGATCTCGACTCTTTTTGTATGTGTTAAAAAAATTTAAAATATGAACTTGTACATTTTAGTGGATTTTTTGGAGTTTTTAGTAAATTAGTTTATTTACCCTCTTTAAGAATTACATACAAAATGTTACGTTTCAGTACTTATTTCGAATAGATAAGACTACCATATTTGTCTTTACGTCATATCCAAATCTATGGTCCCACCATTAATTCATTTATTTAATGTAAACCTTAATTACACAGAAATAAAGTTCAAAGGGCGAACCTAATGCTGTTGACTGCTGCTATTGTACGTAGCAGGCTTGCTATCATTCTAAAATCATCGGGCCATAATTCTTACGGTCAGTTCATCCCCGATTTATTGCATACATCCATGTTTTTTTGTCTTAACCACCTTTCAAATGCCCTAAATATCCAGCACAGTATGTTTACCAATTGTCATTTAGTTTATTTGTATTAGTAACAAGTGGCTGCCCGCGANGCCCGCGACTTCGTACGCATGGATCCCGTTTTACCACCTTAGGAGTTGAATTTTGTAAAATCCAGTCTTAGTGAGCACCTACGTTCTAAAAGGAACCCCCATGCAAAATTTGAGACTCCTAGCACTTGTAGTTTCTGAGATTTCGATTTGAGATTTTGATGAGTGAGTGAGTCAGTCAATCAGTGACCTTTCGTTTTTATTAAGATGTATTCGTAATGTTAATTTTGACTCCTGTTTTTACATGACACTAAAAGTGGCCTTATTTTGGTTTTCTTTGTGTCCTAGCATGTTACTCATTTTTTAAAGTTTGAATTGATTGAAGTTCTAACTATTATAAGTTGCAAACCACAAAAGCATACTTAGATATTAGTTAAAAAGAGGAATTAAAATAATATAAAACAATTTTCACTATCTTTCTTCTAAAAGTTGTAAACTATCTAATATCTATTAATCACATCTACTTGAGCTAGGTTTAGATTTTTCTTTGCACATAATTACATTTCTATGTAGGTAGGATAATAATAAATAATGTCTTTGAAGAATAAAACTGCATTGAAATGACCATGTTCTACAATATCGTACATATAACACAATAGTAATGTAACTCGAAATTTATATTTTCTCAGATTTCACAAAAAATACGCACAATAGCCCAATCAAGAGGCTAATGCCCGTTTTCACCATCAATCCCTATTTTTTCTTAAGTGACCCCTATGGTAACACATAACAGGAATTTGGTTTTCATATGGGTCACTTAAAGTTGGGGATTAATGGTGAAAACGGGCATAAGTGCAGTATTCGATTTCCCTGCAAAACTATGACAAAAAAATTAAATAATTCAATATGGCTAGAAATAAAAAGTAATACGCGATATGCGATTAGTAATGCGTTTAATATGTCACAGTAAATATTGTTTTGTTTACGAAAACAAAAGAAATAGCATTTTGTTTATTTAGTGCTACCATGTGGGCTGAAAAACAAAAATAGATTGCGTGGGTTTGAAGAGGAAGGCTCGTAAAAACACACGACTGCCTTTGCGCGACACTTCAACGCGCCCCGTTTCTTTATGCAATTTTTTAAATAAAAGTCAACCTTATGCCAAGGGAATAAAGCTCGTATGTGTATATTATAATATGTATATTACGGGTAGCATAGCGTATTTTTATGAGTTTTCACTTCAAGTCTTTGTTTACTCTGTAAGTTCTTTCAGAGGGCTTTCTTTTTCCTTGTAGGTATATTTTCTGCAATGTTGCCTTAGCAGGGTGTGTTCATGAAGTCCTTGAAGGTGTATTAAATACTGGAAAATGTTATACAATCGCGACTTGTCAGGTCAACACATGTTTGCTGCGCAGTTAAAAGATTCCATTACAGTTTACTCAGCGTCGAATAATTCGTGACTCCCAAAAAGTTCCAAGCCAAAAAGTTCGCATCGCAAGTGGCAACATGTTTTTGTTACAATTAGAAATGTGTTGTCAACTTTTTGGCCACTTTTGGTGTTACAATTTGTCGCTGACTGTACCAATAAGAAAGAGTAGTAAGGTTTTCGATTAAAAATATTTTAAAGTTTACAAATCACGTGATGCCTCGAGGGTCGGTGTCCGTACCAACTGTATTGTTAGTTATGTTGTCTAATTGGCATCAATACAAAGTTTTTCTGTGCCAATATCTTGTTATCGTCTGTAGTAGCCATATACTGAATACCTACTAGGCATAGTTTTCGCATCAGAACAAGGTGTAGTAAGCCCGCTTCCTGCACAGAGAATACTGAGGGGCATATAACTTAACACAGAACGAAGCTCGAAATCCTATTTAATTTCAAACAATATTTAGTTAGACCAATCTCGAAAAAAGATTAAAATGATAACTTTATATCCTTTACTTGACAAAATATTGATTCCCCTTTCATCCACTATTTCACATCTTCCAACTTTTATTTTCCATGCAAAAGTGTCCTAAGTCCAAAATGGATCAAAATTGGGTTCACGTGAAAACGTGAAAGATAGGTTAAAGTAACTTTCATAAATAATATTATAAAAGAAAGAAAGACACACTTTATTTAACGACATAAAGGCATAATGCATGCTTATTAAGAAGTAACTCTACTGTGTNACTTTTTTTGTTACTAACAAATTCGTTAGTACAAAAGTTCGCGTGGAAACAACTTCATGTAAGTGATTCCATAGTTTTGCTCGCGAGTGTACATAGTAACACCCAGACCCGTCACAGAAATTAAAATTCATCATTTCAATTTCTGCCCGGCCGGGAATCGAACCCGGGACCTCTCGGCATAGTAGTCCGCTCTGAACCACTACACCAAACGGCCGACATGCCTACCTACACAGGGAATACTGAGGCGCATACAGCTTAACACAGAACGAAACTCGAAATTCTATTTAATTTCAAGCAATATTTAGTTAGACCAATCTCGAAAGAAGATAAAATTAATGATGAGTTTATAATATCCTTTACTTGAGAAAATATTGATTCCCCTTTCATCCACTATTTCACCTCTTCCAACTTTTATTTTCCATGCAAAAGTGTCCTAAGTCCAAAATTGATCAAAATTGGGTTCGGCGTGAAAACGTGAAAGATAGGTTAAAGTAACTTTCGTAAATCTAAACCGCGTAAGATAGATGAAGGGGGTAAAACGGGATCTACGCGTACGAAGTCGCGGGCGGCCGCTGTAATATTATAAAAGAAAGAAAGACACACTTTACTTGACGACATAAAGGCATTATGCATGCTTATTATGAAGTAACCCTACTGTGTGATTTCCATAGTATCCGTAGTACCTGCACATCTGTCAATCCACTAGTGACGTCTATTAGAATACCTCAATGTAATTAAGTAGTAAAATAAATACCAAAAATGATTTAATGTTGATGCACGTGAAATATTTCAATAGATTTATAACATCATGTGCTGTCGTCGTGACTGGATTTTTGCAATATTTCATTCAGTTGTTTAATCGTAGAGATGTCAAAAATAACAGGTGTGATTTTTATTTGTATGTATTAAATCATATGTATGGGTATTAATCCTAATTGCTGTCACATTTGATGCTATTAAACATGTTTATTTCAACAAGTGGCAATTAGTGCTAAATTAATATTCATATTATTATTTGTAATGCCTCCATAGATCAATGCTAATAGACTGAGAGAATCTGAGTTTTTGGGTTCGACTCTTTATTCTCTTTAGTGTAAAAATTACTGTGTTTTGTTCCTAATTTGGTTAGGAGGATTTCGTATGGAGGGTACGTTGGTAGATTCCTATCTCTCCCCTCATTCTGACATTAGTTGGAACAACCCACACGATAAAAGTAAAAGATTCACATAATAATATGTATGTATGTCTTGTTGTATACAGTAGTTATTTGTTATGTGACGGAATTTTGCTCTCCTAAAATATCAGTGACACATTCCCAATACGTGCGAGTAAAAATAGCAGATATTATCAGCAAGTGACATGCGTATGGTGCGCATTTTACTTACCAACAAAATATCACATGATCCTGGTCTTGTCACAGTTCTAATTAGTTCTCATTCATGTTCTATTTTCATACTTACGACTTATGCAATCCCGACAAGTGTGCGACAAAAGGCGAAGCGGTGTGATTGTGTTTGGTGCATTATGTAAATTGTATTAAATATTAAATTTAAAATAATTTAAAGTGGATTATAATGGTCGCTGAGTTGCAGTTAAAGGCGCATATACACGGTAAATTATTTTATGGACGTTTCCGATGAGTGGATTGGACATGTTTTAGATATTCAATTGTTTTCGTCTGCGGTTCTACGACCTCGTTGGCTTGTGCGATGTAGTAGAGATGTGTGTGGCAGCTTATTCGTGTGTGTGTTGTTGAATCGTACTATGCGTACAGGTAATTAAGTAGTGCTTACCTGACAAAAATCCTTGGCCGAATTACACGGGGTTTTTACTTTTTATTGATATAAAAAGTGGCATGTCGAGTTATTGCAGACAGCCTAGAAATAAAATTACTGGAGTAGTAAAAATGTAGGCCTCCGAAACCCAAAGAGTACCTAAATGAGTATACATATAATATAATAATCCTAGGCCTCGTTGATTGGTTGGATTTAACTGTATTTGGATCCACATCGTGGGACGGCGGAAAGCGTTGGACGCAGGCCGCTATCAACTGGTCAATATAGAAATCATCGAGGGAGGCCTATGTTCAGCAGTTTATGTCCGAATATGGCTGAAATGATAATAATGATTAATATTCTTCTAATAAATCATCACATTATGAAGTGCGAAATTTGTCCTTGCATCGGGTCATTACGATAGATATGCGATATAGTAGAGCTTTGCGGATGTCAAATTTCGGATAAAGTAATCCCACTTATAACGGATGATGAACAACACGGCCCTATTAAGTAAAGAAAGTTGGTTATACTCTATCCAAGACCGTTAGTCACTATCAAAGTCCGAGTCGAGCTTGCGATATGAGTTGTGCGGGAAAATTCCACAATACAAAGGTTTATGACTTTATTGTGTGCACTCACTTCGTACCAAGTTAGTACGAAGTACCTACGTTTTTGTGAAGGGAGATTTTTTAAAAGTCTGTAAAACTCCTACTAATCCACCTCCGCAGGCTCCAGATACTAGGCGGCTCTTTAGCCGCTATTTTAATACCCTCGCACCATTATCAGACGACTGCCTTTCTATTTAAGATCTAAAATGCCGTTATTGTACTTTTTCCGTCAAATTCTTGTTTACTTTAGCCTTGATGCAAAGAAATTTGCATCGCCTTCGCATTTACCTAATAACCCCGGAGGCCAATGAACGCGTGACGTCATAGCGGTAAAATGGCGTCGGCGTGACGTCACACGTTCGAAAACTGATAACACGCGGGTGTGATACTGCCGCGCCTCCGCAGTACGGGTTTGTGTAGTGCGAGAAACAGTTGTGCGCGTGTTTTACTTTTTAATTTTATTAATTTATTAATAAAAATTACTTGTGGCCAGTGTTGTAGAGACAAAGTGGTGAAAAAAGTTTTTAACACATTATGGTACAAGGTAAGAGAGTTAATTAATTTTATTTAAGTTTGTTTAGCTGTGTAGGTAGTAGGTATTTGTAAACAAACTTTGGTGGCAAATTATAATAATTGATCATTCAAAAGTAAATATACATAATGCTTCATATGTGAAGTTGTTTAAATAACCTTCAAATAAACCTAAATAAAGTTTTAACTGCGATTTACTAGTGACTCGCTGTCAGCAGATCGATTGTTTAAAATATTAAATAAGTTTTTTAATCGATTATGTTTTAACTACCTCTAACTATTAAAATAAGTATTAATACTAATAATAAAATTGTGACGTAAATTTATTTGTGATGTTAGTAGTAATATTTTATAATTTAAAATAAAAATAACTGTATTACAAAAAGAAAATCTTATTAATTATCCTATTTGTAATTTTATTTATTTTATTTTCATAAAAAAAATATTAAGCTGGACCTTGGACATCAACGCTTGTTATTTAAGTAAATAATTTTAAACGTTATTGTTATACTTTTTTCACTTTAATACAGATGATTTAACGTTTTAACTATCTAAAAAAATATAGTAAACTTTATAATTAATAGAGGTATCACAATTAGCAGTAACAAGGCAGTAAATAATATTAATAATGTTGAATTGTGGATATTCTCGAATCGACAGAAAGTCGCATTTTTGTTGCAAAATGAGACTTATTACAACTAGATAAGATGTCATATAATTGTCATTGGATTTTGCCCGTATAGAAATATTTCATTCACCAACAGACGAGGAAAACGGCATAGTATTGCAACTCACGCGAACACGTTTATCGAGTTTCATAATCGCGGTACAGATCCGAACTGAAGACAGAGAAAACCATAACTTGGTTACTCGTTTTAGGGCTGTCTCTATTTGATATGTAAAAAAATAGTTTTTGAGTTAGGCCAATATTGCACACTTGATGAATTTGAAATAGGAAAAAATATAAAGGCAGTAAGGGCAAAGTTATTCCAATATTCATTTAATAAACATGCAATATTGCAATTTATACAGTATTATTTTACAAGTTTAGTAAATATAAAAACCGACGGTACTGTCATTAATTTTTATTCATAAATAAAGATGTACCTATGTATAATCATTTTTTAAACTTTGTTATTTTGAGCACAGTCGTCAGCTGATAAAATGAGCAGAAAAGTTCTCGAGTGGCGACCACGGGCTGGAAAACGCAGCGTGGGCAGGCGTCCTACTAGGTGGACCGACGATCTGGTAAAGGTCGAGGGAAGAGCCTGGATGCGGGCAGCGCAAGATCGTTCATTGTGGAAAACCTTGGGGGAGGCCTTTATCCAGCAGTGGATGTCATTTGGCTGAAACAAACGTACGTCAGCCGATGGACCTGCTAAGAAATGTCGAATTCCCCCATTGTATTGTAAGGTTAAAAATAAATTCTGGTTATTTGCAATTTTTAAAGGTATGTAGGTACGATGTGCTAGCACTGTACCTACATCAAGGTTGAATCGTTTTTAGTATGACAAAAAGAAGTTGTATTTCAACTTTCACACACATCAAACAGCAAGTTAACCACCATGCCAGAGGCTGGAGATTCAATGGGGATGTTGCCTGGGTCAAAAAGCAAGAGTTTTAATTAGTCCGTCAGTTAANAACTCATTGTGTACCCTCAAATTTCATAAAAACGCTATTTTTGTATTTTATTTATAGTTTATGTTAGGAACACCTAAAATAGCAATTTTAAAAATTTTCAAGGACAGGTAGAGGCCTCAAGATGACAGATATCTAATTAAATTTAATGCTTATCGTAATCTATATGTCATCACGCAACTTTTGACACCTCTTGCGTAACCGTAGCTCAAAAAAAATTTTTTCCCATACAACGACGGGACACCCTAGTGGGCAGGCGTCCTACTAGGTGGACCGACGATCTGGTAAAGGTCGCGGGAAGAGCCTGGATGCGGGCAGCGCAGGACCGTTCATTGTGGAAAACCTTGGGGGAGGCCTTTATCCAGCAGTGGATGTCATTTGGCTGAAACAAACGTACGTCAGCCGATGGACCTGCTAAGAAATGTCGAATTCCCCCATTGTATTGTAAGGTTAAAAATAAATTCTGGTTATTTGCAATTTTTAATGGTATGTAGGTACGATGTGCTAGCACTGTACCTACATCAAGGTTGAATCGTTTTTAGTATGACAAAAAGAAGTTGTATTTCAACTTTCACACACATCAAACAGCAAGTTAACCACCATGCCAGAGGCTGGAGATTCAATTCTCGCACGATACAAATGTTTGTACAATTTTATAGTCTGGGTCATCATCATCTCAGCCATAGGACGTCCACTGCTGAACATAGGCCTCCCCCAATGATCCCATATTGACCGGTTGATAGCGGCCTGCGTCCAGCGCCTTCCTGCTACCTTTATGATTTCGTCGGCCCACGGTCTGGGTATTTTCTATGAATAATTTTCGATCACGATAAGAGAAGTTGGGTTTACAAAAACAAAGGATTAAGTATGTTCATACTGTTTCCTAGCACTTACAACATAGTACAAGCACAGAATAATAATAAGTACTGGTACAAGTTTGACTTAGTTCGGAACTAGATGACGCTATGTTAAATTTAGGTGACGACTGTGTAACATGTATTGTAAAACTATTTTATACAGATGTAGAGTTAACTAACCTATATTAATGAATGGCTGGCTGGCTAAAAAAAAACTATGTACCTACTTGAATTACGAAGATAATCAATGTCGCTCGACCGAGACAGATGAGTGTCGCTTGAGCCGAGCTACCCAAGTAGCACGGTGATCAAAGAAGGTGCTCGGGAGGTCATATTGTATTAAAACATATTTTTATTTTATTTAAGTATTTACTCAAAGTTTCAGCATTAAATTTTGCATACACGTGCAGAAAGATGTTGCTAATCTTATGCTAATTATAATAACACGTTGTAGTAAAAATTATATTATAAATAACGCGGATAGATTAGATAGGATGTACTACGCTTTTAATATAAAAATAAATAATAAATCAAACGCAATGTAATGCAGTTGACTCAATTCTGAATCACTTTTACATGGTAATTAGCACTTTCTTGATGATAATTAATTATAATGAGTTTTTATCATTTTTTATGGCTCGAACAGTCGATCTCTGAACTTGTATTTATNATATTTATTTTTAACGATTGTATTTATTTTTAACTGCTCAGTTTTAAAATTTTCCTCGCTTTAGTATACGACTTGTGTGGGCACTAGATAATGTCATTTTCAATAAATAACGATAATGCGTGTAAGGCTTATCTTTCTTTGGGTGGATACTAGAGATCCGGCATTGTAATTAATCACATGTAATTAATTAAGGCTGGCACGTTCAAGGCTGTTAAGTCATAATTTTTATGACACATTAAATATGCGCGTCAAATGTTAGTATTTGACATCTCATCGTTATGATTTTATTATAGATGACCCACGCTGAACTGTCCCGCCAAACTCAATGACAGGGGGGCGCTACCATCGTTCAACTATATGGTTTCCAACATGGCAAAAATCTGAACCAGCGATCCGGTATTGACGGTGGCGCCCCACTGTCAATGTCATCGACAGGACAGTCCAGTATTTTGGAACTATATCTAGAATGTGTGTGAGTTTTGTTTTAAATTGCCCTGTTTGGAAACCAAACCTGATTTGTTTTACGGGC